CTACTCAAAATTAGGTTTTTTAATATAATATAAGAACTTTGACATAAAACTAAAAATATATATATATATATTAAAATAATAAAGTTCAAGTTAAGTTTAATATCCTAGTTCTAAACTCTATAATAGATTGGCAATTTGGAATAAGAATTTCATTAATATTTTTAATGCAAAAATATTTTTATATTCTAGTTATTTTTGCCACGTGCAGTAATGCTCTCACATTTTATCTCACAGAAGGAAAGCAAAGATGTTTTTTAGATGAATATACTGCAAACACTGTTGTTATTGGAGCCCATCAATTATTAGATAAAGTTTAACCTAATGGGGGAGGTGTTGAATTAAATGTTCTTGATCCAGATAATTAAGTCGTTTTAACAAAAATGACTAATAGTGAAGAAGGCAAATTTACATTCACAACTAAAAAACAAGGACGATATTAAGTTTGTTTGAAAATGTCAAATACAAAAGGTTGGTTTGGAGACAAAAAATAACCATTATATTTCTTAAGAATTAAGTAAGGAGAAAATTAAGAATTTACATCAGCTGCAAAAGAAAGTTAGGTATATATTAAATAATTATTGTAAGATTACAGGATTGAAGTAAAAAATTAAATAACTTCAAAAACAAGAGGATGATTTTATAAAATTATAATTAATGAATAGAGAAAATGAAGATAAATTAAGTATAGAAAATATAAAAATAAATGATAACGTGTTCAATGCAACCTTAATTCAAATATTTGTTATTATTGGAGCAGGAGTATTTTAAATTTACTCTTTAAGAAGATTTTTTGCATAAAAAATATATTATTGATTGTATTTATAAAATTATTCAATACATTTTAAGTACTTAATTTCCATATGTGCCTAATTAGCTCCTCTAATTTAAATATGGATTTTGATTATACCCAGGAATAGGATTCAAAAGTGGATTATGAACTTAAGGATTAATTTAATTGTTATCAGGACTTCTAAACTAGAATCCTATATATTTTAATTACTCCATTGCTCATAATTTATGAACCATTCTGATTTTTAGAACTTTATTCTCTTTCGTATATTTATTTTTGTAAGGAATCTCTCATCAATTATTTATTATAAAGTTAGTTTTATTTTTTTTACTGAGCTTCTATCTCTTCTTTATATTATACATTTTCAATTCCTCGATTTATCATGTTTTCAATTTACGATTGTCTAGCACTACCAATTTTTTCAGCAAATTTTTATGACATTCGCTCTTAATGTTCTGCTACTTGTCTATAATACTAATATTAAATTTAAAATATACATCTTAATATTATTTTTATTTTTCCTATATTCTATTTTCTTCATCTCTTTAATTTATTTATTCTTTAATTTTTTCTTATTCTTACAATTCTTTTTATTACATAATTTTTCTCATTTTATCATCCATTGAAGCTTAAGCAATTTATTTCATTTATTATTATTAATGCATTTTTTATTGTCTTTACATTTCTTAATATTATTAAGCTTAAGAAACAAGATTGAATTCATCTTAAATTTATTTTTATTTGATGATATTTTGATTTTATTTTTTTTAGTTAATGCTTTGTTCATATGCTTCACTTAATTCTCTTTATTTTATTTTTTATATTTATTTACGCTAGAGTTAATCATACTCTAATGCTTTTGCTGATTCTTAAAGTATTTATTATTCTAATTCAAGAGCTCTTCTTTTTGAATCTATTTGTTACTATTATCGATATTATTATTATTCTTCGAGAGTATTTCTAAAAGGGAAATAAATAGTAATAAATACTTAAGTAACTGTTTCTAATATTACATTAAATTTAATATTAAAAAATATTTATAATAGCTAACTAAATATTGATATAAATAGTAAAATATGTAAGAGAAATGTTGTTATATGAAATAATCAGTTTTAGATGGTAATGATTATAAATTTATTTATTGATTGAATTGAAATTATTCTTTAAAAATGGGAAGTAAATGTTGTCGAGACGATAATATACAAAAGAAAGGTTTGAGTACAGAAATTTCATGTAGATGAAATGGAAACAGCTTAGAATCCAGATGTATCTATACCACCAGGTCCTGAATAAAAAGCTTCATTATCCTAATAAGAAAGCAAGAAATCTTAAGTTGAAGAATAGTAGGCTAAAATTGAGAGTAAATAGATTGAATATGCAATGGAGAGTGAAATCCATTAAGAACAAGAATAAAAGCCAGCAGCAGCTTCTTTGATTTAAGAATAATAATCAAAGGTTTCAGAGATAGTGTAATCTTAAAAAATGACTAACGAATAGAGTATTCAATCATTTATAGAAATAGTTAAAAACGAAGTATAGAGCAAAAGTTAAACAGGTAATTGTGCTGGATCAATGGCAAAAAAAATAAAATTAGGCGTTGATATATTTGTTAAATTGAAAGAAGGGTCAATAGGGTCACATTATAATTTTGGAAAAGTTTTAGGATAAGGTGCTTTTGGTAAAGTATGGAAAGTAACTCATAAAACAACTGGCCTAATTCGTGCAATCAAATAAATTAAAAAGAGTTCTATAATCAAAGAAGAAGAGTCAAGATTATTTTCTGAAATGAATATTTTAAAGAACCTAGATCATCCACATATAGTAAAATTATTTGAATTGTTTTAAGATGAAAATAATTATTATTTAGTGACTGAGTAATATCTTAACTTATTTTAGATATTTATCAGGAGGAGAATTATTTGATAGGATTAAAAAAATGTCATCATTTAGTGAAAGCATTGCTGCAGATTACATTAGATAGATTCTTTTAGCAACTGTACATTGTCATGAATAAAAAATTGTTCATAGAGATTTAAAACCAGAAAATATTATATTTATTAACGAAGATCCACAATCTTAACTTAAAGTTATAGATTTTGGAACATCTAGAAAGTTTGACAATTAAAAAGTTATGAGTAAAAGATTAGGAACAGTAATTTATTTATAATAAACATTAGCCATATTATATTGCCCCTGAAGTTTTAGGTCATTCCTATAATGAAAAATGTGATATCTGGTCTTGTGGTGTTATTCTATATATTTTATTATGTGGTTATCCACCATTTGTTGGAAAAACAGAGAATCAAATTTTAGAGAGAGTCAAAATGGGTAAATTTTCATTTGATCGTAAAAATAAATTAAATAACTTTTAGCTGAGGATTGGGATTCTATTTCTAAAGAAGCCAAAGAATTTATTACCAAATTATTGAGAATGGATCCTAATAAAAGATTATCAGCTAAATAAGCTTTAGAAGATCCTTGGTTAGTTAAATATGCTCCATCAACTTAAGTTAATAGAAAAGTCTTAGATAATATTCGTTAATTTTAAGTAATTATTATTTCTATATATTAATTATTTAGGCATAAACTGTTTTAAAATAAGCGTTGATGTCTTATATGATAACATAAATGTCAACATAGAAAGAAATTTAAGAATTACAAAAAGAATTTCAAAGATTAGATATAAATAATGATGGATTTTTATCGAAAGAAGAATTTCTTAAAGGATATATATAGATTTAAAATGATTTAAAATTAGCTGAAGAAGAAGTTGAAAAAATTCTAGAAATGATTGATATTAATAGATCAGGATAGATAGATTTTTCAGAATTTTGTATGGCAGCTATGAATTAAGAAAAACTACTTTCAGTTTAGAGAGTTGAATAAGCTTTTAAAATATTTGATCAAGTATTTCTATTCTTATTTATTTAGAATGGAGATGGTTTTATTTCTAAAAAAGAATTAGAAGCTGTTATGGGAGATTTAGGTGATGATGTTTGGAACTAAATCTTAAGTGATTGTGACAATAATGGAGATGGATAGATATCTTATGAAGAATTTGTAAAAATGCTTAAAAATAAAAAACTTTGATTTTTATATAATTTTACAGTTTATATATTTAATTAATTATCTAATTGATGGATTAATAAGATTATGATAATTTTAAAAGATCCATAAAAATTTAAAGTAATTTAAAATCCATAAGAGAATCTTTATTAGTTTGATAATATTAATTTAATAATTATAAAATGATAACTAATATTTGATTTCTATGTATTTTTAACATTGAAAAATATTAATTTTAAATAATTGATTTAGTTATAAAAATATTGGTTGATGAAGCAGAAAAAATTTAACAATTTTAAAAATTCATATAGCATTTAATCACTAAAGTAAATCTTGAATTAAGGCTTAATTAAGCTTTCGTCTAAAATGAATAAAATAAATACTTCTTAGTTATACCAAAGTTTACAAAATCAAATTTAAGAATGTTCTCACTAATTTTAATCTCCATTTAATCTTCAATTAATCTTGGTTTACTTTATATTTTTTTTTCATTATTCCTTGATGAATAATTTTATAATGACTACCAAGTACCATTTGCTGACTCTCTTACACCTCCACCATCATGAATAAACCATCTAATGTTAATAATATATAATACTCATTATTTTTATACATTATTTATGCCTATCTTCTAGAAACAGTATTAATATTAACAATGACATCACATTCTTAGGATCTTCCAATTTTAAATACAAATTCTTCATTATAATTAGCAATGAATATATGTGATTAAATTTAATTGATAGAAGGACTATTAAAAGAAAATTTTAAAAAGGGTCTATCATATTAATTTAATTTATGAGAAACTTTTCGCCTTAAATCAGTTGTTCTAAATTCATTTAATAATGTATTAAATTATTCACTTTCCTCTAGTGAAAACCCATGAATCTTAGTACCCTTTATTATATGTTCTTTTGCAAGAGCATAATAAAAACTATTTTAATCTTTTATTTTTTTTATTTTTGTTTATGTAGACTTTGATTTAATTTCTAAAACATGGAAATATGTATCAGCTCCAATCAAATATGTATTATGCAATTACATAAGTTTTATATTATCTTTTTTAATTTTTATAAATGTTCCTATTTTTGTTGCATTATCAGTTATATAAAATTAAGGCTTTTCTCTAAGAAATAGTAATATCAATACTTAATAAATGAATATATATGTTTTTTAACTGAAAATGGCACTTTAATTGCATATTTATTTAATCTAAATAATGAGAAGAATAGAAGAACTGATTTTGTTAGAAGATTTGAATAAGAAAATCCTTTTTCAGTCGACAATTTACAATGAAGTTTTTCAACATTTTTATCACCATGAGGCAAATCTTAAAATATAATGAATTATTATTACAAATATCACAATTTTCTGATTTATTATCATCTTATTATTTTTTTCGACCTATAGTTATCTCATTTTTATATTCATTTCCAAGAATTCTAACTAATAAATATTAAAAATACCTATCATATTATAGAAAATATTCAGCATCTATTTGGCTTGAATGCTATTTAAAGACGCTTATACGAATATGTGGTTCATTTTCATTTAATTGGTCACTTTACTATATTTACTTCTTTAATGGTTATTCTAGAATCATCACCTATTCTTATTAAGTTGTTTATTCCCTATTGCTTTATGTTTAAATTATTTATGATTGATTTTGGTTCAGTGGATGTTAAATCTAAAAAGTAATAATATATAATAAACTTACATTATCATCTTCTATCACTATACAATTCTCCAATGAATTTCCAATTATTGGTTATTAATAAAATGAACTCCATTATTAAGGATAATTGTTTATATTATAAGGATTCATCATAGGAACACTAAATTAGTGAATATAAGGGAGATAGTAATCTAAAAATATTTCAATAAAATTACAAAATTAGAAAGGCTTAGGATAAACTTGAAAACTCATTCTCAGCTATATATATTTGAATAAAATAATTATTTTTATAATTATTTGTATTTATTCACTTATGAAAATCCAATTCTTTTTATTTAAAATTAATAATCAAATTTTACTGTTTCTATTGTTTATCATAATTTGAAAATATCATGCTACAACTAAATAAACATTTATAATTTATTAAAAATCCTATAATCAAAATAATTAATTAATCAAAAGATTAACTAAAAAGAATCTTAATTTTTTATTCTTTTAACTTCAAAATTTTTAATATTTACAAATTTCTTCCTATTTTTATCCATCAAATTTTATTCTAACTCAACATAATTTGCTTTTGATTAAATTTTTTCGAATCATTGATATTAATTGATAATAAATTGTCGAACTTATTTTTTTATCAATTTATTGAATATTTATTTTATGGAAATGTACTATAAGATATTAATTAAATTTTTTAGAAGTTCTATTGATACTATTTTAAATTAATTTATTAATTTAAAAAAATGGCTTCTAATGAAGTGATAAATTAACTTAATAAACTTCTTTAAAATTCCAATGTTCCAAATTCTTAATAAAAAACGAAGCAATTCTAAGTAAAGTCTCAAATAAAACAATAAAAAATTCAAGAATAAACAAGTTATACATCTACTTTAAATAATTAAAAAATAAAATCAAGATTATCATTTTAGAAAGATAAAAGCTCCTTATTTTATGATAAAGAATAAATTTTCAACAAAAACAATAAGAAATATTTCATGAATGGAGGGTAATATATAGAAAAAAAGTTTAAATCTATTGAACATGAAGAAGAAAATAAAGAAAATTTTTAGAAAATATTGATAGAGTCCCCTACTAAAATGAATGTGTAAATATAAAGTTAATCTTAAAAAAATGAAAAATTTCAGGCTTTCAAATAATTAATATATTAAATTCACAATTAAAAAAAAGCCCAAAAAAATTGAACTTATATAATTATATATTACTTAATTTGCAAAATAAAGAATTACAATTTTTATATAATCAATAAATAAAACTTGTTATTTTGCAAGATTTTATATTTCACTATAGGAGTTTTTCATTTACAAAATTTGCCAATTATTTTAGAAGTTATTTATATTCATTTGGTAATTACTTTACTTCATCTTCTGATATCGATTGAAAAGTGGAATAAAATTTATGTAATTATTCTTAATTCAAAAGTTTATAAACCATAGTTTCTTTTTTATTAGGGGAATTAGAAGATTAAAAGGATTGAGTATTTTATTATTGAGTACATATATTTTCATGAGTGATACATTATAATTGAAGATTATTTTTAGGGGATTAAATATGATTACTATTAGTATTTCCTAAGTTTGTATTACATCTATCTTAGATTTTATTTTAATGTTTAGTGAGATTAATTTTTGTCTTTATGGTAGAATTAATCTTTTGAGAGGAAGTTTAAGTTTTTACTTTATTATTTTATGGACTTTTTGTAATTTCATTTGATTAAACTTATGCTTTAAGCTTTCTTTTGAAATCGTTAAATTGTTAAAGCAAGTCACTAGAGTTCATATGACAGTTAATAATAATTATAATTTCAATAATTTATTTAGGAATAAATAAATTTATTGCATTCTATATATGATTAAGCATAGTAAATAAAAATCAAATTGTGTGATATGACAAGTGATTTGTTAAAGGATGCACAATATATTATATTAGAAAATTTAAGAAAACATACTAATGAGAGAGATATTGCATATCATATTAAGAGAGAGTATTTTAATATTAACTATTCAGATTAGATAAAAGACATTAAGTGTGTAGTAGGTAAAAATTTTGGTCTATTTGTAACACATGAAGCAGGATATTATCTTTAGGCTATAAAGGGATAAATAACAGTTGTTGTTTGGAAATGAAAGAATATAAAATCTATTTTTTATTTTATATTATAGTTTATTTTAGAATTGAGATGAATAGATATAGTTGTGTAAATATTATCAAAGAAATTTACGATAAATAGAACATTGTTATTTAATTAATATCTATTGTTAAAAACAATGATCTTGAGAGTGATGTCTAAATAAAAATATAGATATACATATTACTGCTTGGTAATTAGATAATTTTATCATTTTCAGCATAATCACACATGCAAATATTACATTATAAAATAGATGGTTCTATAGAAGTACTATAATGAAATATGCGCATTTTTTAATTTTATTCTAAGATAAAATAACAAAAGGAATTACTTAAGTTTGATTTTTATTAATAATTTTAAAAGTGAACTTAAATAAAAATATGAATATTATAATTGACATATATAAGGTCATGGAAATAATAGCTAACCCAAATCTAATAAAGAGAAATGCTGAAAATAAATATCCAATAAGTTACATTGTTTAAATCTAAAAAATAGAAATGAATTTATTACTGTCATCACAAACATTAGAATCTGATTAGAAATAGGCTACATTTCCTCCTGTAAATATCAAGTAGATACTGAATTAATTATAAAGTTTCATAATTATAGTGTATTTATTTAAGACTTCAGTTTAATGGATAATTTCATATATAGTGAATGGAGGTTCAACAATCAATTCTTATTATGAGATTTCATAAGTGGATAATTTCATTTTAATAAGAATCTTAATTTATGCTCTTCTTTTAGACTTTATTTATAGTTAATTACCTATTTCTTTTTTACATACTACTAAGATTCATGGTTTCATTTGATGTTTTAATTAATATATCTGGCAGAACTAACAAAAATATATCTTTGGAATTCATTTGTAATGAATATCGTACTGCTAAATACCTACATTATGATTGGTATCTACCGAATCGAATTAAAAAATTCATACATTCCTACTATTGTTAACCAAACGACTAAAGGATTTACTTCACACTTTTAATCTCTCTATTATAAACTATAAAAAGAAGCTAGATATTTTCCAACACTAAATACAAGATAAAAATCTTATTCAAAACAAAAAATATACCTATTTTATTTATATGACGATTTGAATTAACCTCTGAACTCTTTGATCAATTTAAATTTTTTCTCATTTTCGTCCTTAGTAACATTTTTGATTTAATTCTCGAAACTTTCCTGAATTTATCCATTCATTTACAAATATAATAATTGAAAATTATTTTGAAATAATCAATTCAGATAATTATAATTTTACAACAACAAAAAAATATATATATATAATTAATAATCTAAATGAAAGGTTCAAATTATAGATTTCCTCATTCCAGATAAGATTCAGGATAAGCCAATAGAGGTGATAAAAGTTTACTTAATCAAGGGAACTAAGGAGCTTAAAATATACATAATAATAGGTAAATAATATAATAAATAATAATTTAATAGATGGAATGAACATAATGATCATTCTCCTTCTCCATTAATAAATGCTATGTAGAAGATTTCAGTTTAGTCTAGTTAATCTACATCTGCTAATCATTCAAAAAAATCATCTATTTCTAAACCTAAATAAACTCAATAGATGTCATTTCTAAATTATTTAATACTTAAAAAAGAAGATGAAGAACAAGAGAAACAAGTAGTTTAAGTATAATAGATTTAACATAAATAATAATAATCATCTTTCATGTAAAATAATTACTTTCCTAATGATGTTGTTGTTTAGAGAAACATGTTTAATTTTTTGTATGTTATTGGGATAGGAGGGTTTGGTAAAGTATGGAGAGTTGAGCATAAAAAGAATGGGTAAACTTATGCTATGAAAGAAATGTCTAAAGCTTTGTATTTATAAATATTCAATTAAAAGGATTATAGCTAAAAAAAGTGTAAATTCTGTTATGAATGAAAGAAGCATTTTGAGTAATCTTAAGCACCCGTAATTAATTATATTTATTTCAAGCTTTCTTGTTAATATTTATTTTGCTTTTTAAGACAGAGAAAACTTATTTTTAGTATTAGATTATATGCAAGGAGGAGATTTAAGATATCATATTGGAAGAATGCGCAGATTTAGTGAAGATTAAACAAGTAAGTTTTTATTGTACAACAAAGAGGATTTTTTATGGCATGCATTTTTCTAGGGTTAGAACATATGCATTCAAAAAATATTTTACATAGAGATATTAAACCAGAAAATTTAGTTTTGGATAAAAATGGTAAAAATACTATCAAAATAATAGGATATATTAGAATTACTGATTTAGGTATTGCTAGAGTTTTGAGACCTGATAATGCTCAAGATACTAGTGGAACTCCTGGATACATGGCTCCTGAAGTAATGTGTAGATAAAATCATTCATATGCAGTTGATTATTTTGCTTTGGGAGTCATTGGTTATGAATTCATGCTTGGGAAAGTATTAATTTTATAATAAAATAGAGACCTTATACAGGAAGATCTCGTAAAGAAATTAGAGATTAAATATTGGCTAAATAAGTTTAAATAAAAAGATCAGAAATTCCTGATAATTGGTCTTTAGAATCAGCTGATTTTATAAATCGAGTAAATATTTTATTTATATTTCGATTAGTTAATCTAAAGAAAACCTGCGAATAGATTAGGTTTTAATGGACCTTAAGAATTAAGATAACATTCTTGGTTTAAAAATTTTCCATGGTAAAAACTTTATAGTAAAGAATTAAAGGCACCTTTTATTCCTCATGTAATTATAAATTTAAAATGATATAGTAAACAGAGGATAATTTTGATGCTCGTTAAATATCAATTGAAGATGAAGAAAATAATGAATTGATTTAATAAAATGCGATAATGTTAAGGAGAAATTCAATTTAATGTATAATTAGATATATAAATAGCATTATTTAATGGATATGAGATTGATAATTTTACATAAGCAAGTGAACCTACAAAACAATAACTCAACAATAGTAATTATTGATTCATTCTAATTTATTTTATTTAATAATAAATATAATTGAATGAAAGTGTAAATAAAACATTTTCTCTTTTAATATAAGTACAGATTAAACCTAATACAATAAATTTAGATGAATAAATATATTGATTAATGATTAATATTTGTATTAATAATTATTAATATACATATATTACTACTATGATATATCTTTATCAAGCTTTTTATTTTTGCTCTAAATGTCTTTTTTTTTATGAATCCTTATCCATAGGTAACTAAAGAATAAAAGATAAAAATACTTTCAATAATTCTTTGAGTGTAGGATCATTGAGATCGTGTGCAGACTTGAATTTAGTTTCATCTAATTTTAATCCTGAAATTTAGATAGTGCTATTAGCAAGAACAGCAACAGTAATAGTGAATTATGCAACAATACTATTTGGACTTATCAAAATAGGATAAGGATTTAATAATTCATGTTTAGCACATTCTTAAACAGCTAATTTAGCTGTAATTTCATCTTCGAAGGCTCTTAATGAGAAACATAAAGATGGATATTTTTCATAAACTTCTTGCATAAATGCNCCTTATACAGGAAGATCTCGTAAAGAAATTAGAGATTAAATATTGGCTAAATAAGTTTAAATAAAAAGATCAGAAATTCCTGATAATTGGTCTTTAGAATCAGCTGATTTTATAAATCGAGTAAATATTTTATTTATATTTCGATTAGTTAATCTAAAGAAAACCTGCGAATAGATTAGGTTTTAATGGACCTTAAGAATTAAGATAACATTCTTGGTTTAAAAATTTTCCATGGTAAAAACTTTATAGTAAAGAATTAAAGGCACCTTTTATTCCTCATGTAATTATAAATTTAAAATGATATAGTAAACAGAGGATAATTTTGATGCTCGTTAAATATCAATTGAAGATGAAGAAAATAATGAATTGATTTAATAAAATGCGATAATGTTAAGGAGAAATTCAATTTAATGTATAATTAGATATATAAATAGCATTATTTAATGGATATGAGATTGATAATTTTACATAAGCAAGTGAACCTACAAAACAATAACTCAACAATAGTAATTATTGATTCATTCTAATTTATTTTATTTAATAATAAATATAATTGAATGAAAGTGTAAATAAAACATTTTCTCTTTTAATATAAGTACAGATTAAACCTAATACAATAAATTTAGATGAATAAATATATTGATTAATGATTAATATTTGTATTAATAATTATTAATATACATATATTACTACTATGATATATCTTTATCAAGCTTTTTATTTTTGCTCTAAATGTCTTTTTTTTTATGAATCCTTATCCATAGGTAACTAAAGAATAAAAGATAAAAATACTTTCAATAATTCTTTGAGTGTAGGATCATTGAGATCGTGTGCAGACTTGAATTTAGTTTCATCTAATTTTAATCCTGAAATTTAGATAGTGCTATTAGCAAGAACAGCAACAGTAATAGTGAATTATGCAACAATACTATTTGGACTTATCAAAATAGGATAAGGATTTAATAATTCATGTTTAGCACATTCTTAAACAGCTAATTTAGCTGTAATTTCATCTTCGAAGGCTCTTAATGAGAAACATAAAGATGGATATTTTTCATAAACTTCTTGCATAAATGCTCTACCATGTTTAGTTTTTAATTAATATTATCTATCTAATGCTCTTTTATAGACAGTAGTTCTTAAATCAGACTAAATGAATATATAAATATTGATATTTACCTCTTTAGTCTTTCCATCACCTGTTGTAATATAAACATCTAAAACAAAAACATCATTAACTTAGATTTCTTCTTCATCAACTCTTTGTTCTTATGTTTCTCTATTAATGATAACCTTATTTCCATCAATAAAGTGTCTTTTAACTTCATGACTTAAAACTCCTTCTAATGGAGTACATTTATGATCATCTGCAATTTATTAAATAAGCTTAGTTAAAGCTGTATTAGTAGTGCCTGGCTTAATTGATCTATAAAGAGCTTAAACTGATTAATATGCAGCCAATATAACATCAGCCTTCTAACCTTCGACTTAATCTTCTCCTACTACTACTGTGTGTGCAGCTATTGCAATATATCCATCTATATGTACGCCCAATTCACTATTTATTTATTATTAAAATTACATCTTAGCTACATCACCCTTTACTAAATTACTGGTTTCACTCTTCAATGGAGAATAATGACCGCATATTTAATTCACAGAAATTGTTGTTGGAAATGCCAACCCTTTTTCTATATTTTTCTTATTGTAAACTTTTTATAGTTCTCCACTTATCTCTGAATCTCCAAAAGCACAAATTTAAGCTATATCACCATTTACTTATAATTTAGCAATCACTTTTTCAAGAACAACTGATCATTAATTAATTTTAAAAATTACCATTTACTATTTTACCTGCATTTTGATATTTATCTAATACTCCTGGAGTAGCTATTGATTCAAGTTTATCTTACTCTGTTTATTAATCCATATTAAATTTTAAATATTTATTTAAATCTTTATATATATTTTATAATCATATATAAATATTTATATTTAGTTAATTTTCAATTGCAAAATCCTAATTATTCCCACATATTTTCTTAATCTTCATAATCATCAACCTTATATTTTGGCAACCATTATCCAAAATCTACTTCAGGTGTAAATACTTTATCCAAAGTTAATTTAAATGCATCATCCAACATTCGAGGTATTAACATTTTTAATAAATTTGAACTCTCTTCTAAACAAGGATTTGCATTCACTTCTATTAACCATAACTTAAGATTTTCATCTATCATAAAATCATATCCTAATAATTGCATCCCATATTTTCTATTTCTTTTATTCAATCTTGTTGAGTTCATTGTTATTTTTACTACATCTTTAATCATTGGCCATCCCTCCTTTCTAAAATTATAGGTTGTCTCTTATTAACTATTTTTAAATTTTATATTTACTCTAATAATTATTAAAATCTCTTCAATGATAATTAATTACCATCTTCAAATTATCCATAATTCTGTGCATTCTTTTAAACTGCATTATTTGTCAAATGTATGTATCTATCTTTCTAATTAGAATTAATCCTAAATATACATTATCTAATGAAAATGCTGTTCCACTTGTTCTAATATATGCTTCTTTAAACAAAAAAAATTGCATTTCTTATGATATTAAAACCCAACATCTTATATCAAATTTTCTTCCACTCAACAACAATGGTCTCTCAATATATTTTTGAATTATAAACTCTTTACATTCATAGTTCCCTTTACCATAATAGTATGACTTGATTAATGCTTCAACTTCTTCAAGAGTGCTGAATACATGAACACCTTCTCCTCTATTCCAATCAGCTGGTTTCAAAAGCCATAAATATTATGTTTTACTAGTCAAAGTTTCCTATAATTTATAAGATTTTATTCCATTATAATTAACCTTTGTACCTGCCAAATTTGATACATAAAAATCAAATTCTAAAGTAGATTTTATACTTGCTTATCCTATTGGATTATTAATTTGATAAAATTCTGTAAATTGCAAAATATCTTTCATCCAATCTTAATTTTTAAAATTAAATATAAAAACTAAAGGTATAATATCGAAAGTTTTCTCAATATTATTATAATATTAAAGCAGTGATTAAGATAAACCTAAAATAATTCTAATATGTACCTGTCTTTGATGTTATATTTTTATGAAATTCGAAAAAATTATACATAACTCTAGCAAATTAACTCTCTGATTAAGTTAAACGGTTAAAATCCATACCAAAGTATGATTGCTACCATATAAAATGTTTATATTAAAATGTTAATGGCACAGCTGTCCAATATTGTTCACGTTTTTATAAAATTTTTTTTACTAATTCACCATTATTTCCAGGTCCAACATAATAATTAAACTTAAAATAAGTAGGAAATGTACCTTTAATTTAGGTAGATCTCTATCTCTGTTAAATTTTAAAGGGGGATTTAATGCAGGAATTGCTACTCTTTATCTATTTGCAAAAGGTGTGTAGCTATTTGGATTGATTTATCTTTTATTTTATTTTTCTAAACTTTCAGACAACAATCTAGGATGAAAGAAATCTTGTTTGAATTACCTTGGCATTTGTCTATTAGAAATAAGAGGTAATGATGGTTATTAGAGTTATTCTTCTGAAACTTCCATTAAAGGTATGTCTTTTCCTGCTAATAATTTGTCTCTCTATTATTATCTTGCTATGTAATATTTAACTCCATCTGCATAAATGTTTAAACTTCTTGCTAAGTCTGGTTTTTATTTAATTATCTTTTCTAATGTTTTTTTTTATCTATCATCTGCTTTGCATAATAATTCCAAATTATGAAAATTTCCTAGAGATTTACTTTGTATTTGTTCTTCTTTCTCTTTTTTTTTAATTTTTTTTTCTTAAGTTGCAGATGCCATTTTAATATAAAATAAATGAATAAAATTATAAAAATATCAGTTGTAAAATTATGTACTTCAATTATAATATTTAACTTGGATGATTATTTCAGTTTATAAAATTATTTATATAAAGTATTTTAAGATAATAAATATATAAAATAAATGTATGACTTTTCAAGAATGTAAAAATTAGTAGATAGAATGCAAAAATTATAACCTCCAAAGCCACCTCCAGATACAAGGTTCTTGCCAGAAGAATTAAAAAAGGATAAGGTTGTAGAAGATCCAAGAAATATAGAAAAAAAAGCTAAAAGATAACTCCTCATTAAGAATACAAAAGCGTCAGGTGGTTTGAAACCAGTTGAAGACGAAAGATTATTACTCATTTAAAAGGAGAATTACTTGAAGAAAAAGTAAAGGGAATTAGAGATGGAATAAGTTAAAAAGGAATTAGCAGAACAAAAAAAGTAAGAAAAGTAAAAATTAGAAATAGAAACCTAAAGAGCATTATAAGTTGTTAAAGGCAAAAAAGAGTATGAAACACAAAATTTATATTAGGATATCGTAAATAGAGAGGGAAGAAAAAATTAAAAAACATATTGATAGTGAATTTATTAAGAGAAAATAAAAAGTAAATAATTCAATCTAGATGTCTTCAATTGATGCATCATATGTATCCTAAAATTAAAATTTAAATAACTCTTTGATTAAGAAATAAATTTTAGATTATCACACACTTCCTAAAGAATAATACAATCGTATTTATCGTTAGCCAGCTGTAAGTCCCCCAAAATGAATTCATTAATAATATTCATCAGAAACATTAGCCCTTAATTATTATATATATTAATTTTTATTATAGATATATAGAATTCTAATATTTCAATTTAATTTTTATCTTTAAGATAAAGTTCTCTTAGCTTCTTAAAATTTCCTTTAAAAATCTGATAATTAGGTTTAATCCCCATTATTTGCAATAAAAGATTAATTATTTTCTTTATTTTCATCTAGAATTACTTAATGAATTGGAGTCTAAAACTAAAATAATCTTTTAGTTCTATCATCTCTAGCTCTTTCATATAATTTTTTTTCATTTATAGTCGGTTCAACAGTTTCTAGCGCTCTTAATGACATTATTTTTAATTTTGTAGATTTGATATCTTCAATTTATTATATAATGCTTTGTGGATCTAATTAATATTGTAATTATAATGAGGCACCCCATGTATTTCTGTCTGTGAGTATAGTTCTGGTAAGTTAATCTATTTTTCTATTATTTAATGCAATATAATTAAAAGCCATAATAGCTTGACTTTAATCTGGATGATCAGGAAAATATGATTCTATATCACTTAAAACATCATTTAATTTCTAAGAATATTAATTTAAAATTACATCCATTTGTGTTTATATTTTTTGAACTTCTGTATCTATTTCTTTAACTTTTTCACACATAGTATCATCTGCAACTTAGATAAGTTCAGATTCTTTTAATTATAGAGCCTTATATAACTCTTAAAAGTTAGATTGAATCTACATTTTTGTGGAGGTGTTAATTTCTACAAGTTCTTTCTTTTTTGCAGCAAATTTACATTAATCCTACAACAATTAATCTTGACTAGATTTTACCTTCTAATAAAATTAATCAGCCTTAAATTAATAAAATAAATTTACTTTAGTTGTTCTAATTATTGAATAAGACTTTTAAACATTCTTTACTTCATGGTTTTTATGTAATCCTTATAAATAACATTCCATACAAAAACAAGGTGTTTCACATGTATAACAATAAAGTAATGCTTCTTCACTAGAATGTTATTAACATGTAACAGTTAATCCTTATTAAGTATTAAGATGAATTTAGGATGATTTAGAATGAGTTGAAGCTTAATATTAAATTTGTTATCTTGAACTTTTTAAATTTGCAGTTGACATTCGAGATGACTGCATTTTGTACATTTCTTATAAGACTTCTATAGCAGAAGGATCCAATAGAGTTTATGAAGAACAGATCTCACAAACTAATGTTTAACATTATAGTTTATTATAGAGTTTAGCTGAGCATTGAAGACATAGATTATGCTCACATGATAAAGCTAATATTTAATCTACTTCATTTCCACATTTAGTGCATTCCAAGAGTTCCTCCATTTAACTGCTAATTTAAATTTGAATATAATTAATAAATATATAAAATTCATTTAGCAGCTAATGCTTATAATAAATTAGTATGTATTTAATATAACGCTTTTTGCATATCATCTTAAAAGTGAGGTCTTTTAGCATAGAATCCTTAAAACTAGCTTTCTTCATAAACTCCAACTATATATCTTTCATCATCAAATTTTTCCATTTTCTCTAATCTGACAACTAATTTCCCATCAATGACATCAACTAAATTTAATTGAATAATTCTGTATTCTGGATTTCTATTGAGCACTCTCAAATCAAAATATTTCATAAAATGAATTTAAACAAGAGTAACCATACATTTTATTATAAATATCTACCCTGGAATTTCCATCAAAGCAGGTAGAATATGTACTAATATTACAAGATCTCCAACTATCATCATCTACTAAGTTTTTGTCATATCTAATTATTTTTCCTTCCAAAATAACACTCTTCTTGCTACAAAAAGTCCTCTATCTATTTCTGGTTAATCAAAAAACTGAAGATATGATAAAAATTTCAATTCTGGTATCATGAAATCATTTGTACAATAAGTAACTAAACTAGTCATGAGATATTTCATTGCATTTGTTAATTACATGTATGATTAGTCAATTTCTTATTCTGTCAAAGGTTTTTCTGGATTCTTTTGATAAAAAAGAAATATACAATAAAATCTATTTCTTTAATTTTAGTCAAATAATTTTCAACTTTTGCCAACACCATTTTGCACCAGTCATTAATACGTTTTAAAGCAATGGGATATGAAATTTTTTAGATTACAGCTTTACATTCAACAGAGTGCTTGTATAATTTTCTCCATAAAATATTTAAAGGTTTGCAATATATTTTCCATCTCATAGCTAATCGAACAGCATTAAAAATAACTTTAAGCCTTGATCCTTAAAAAGCTAATTTTTTATTTCCTTTCTAAATAAATTAAAAATAAAAATACATCAGAGAAAAAACTCTATTTAGTTTATTAGATGGACCTTTTTGTAACTAAAGGAATAGTTTTCTAACTAGATCTTCTTGAATTTTAAGCTTGAGATCCAGCTGTTTTTAATTTAATTTTAGCAGCTGATTAAGGATTTTATGAATTTAATTACTATTCTTATGGTTAAGGTTATTGATAGTATGGATATTGATAGGGATTATATTAGAAAGGTTGTTAATATGGTTATTGTTAAGGTGGATATGGAGGAAATTGTTATCCAAAGGGAGGATAAGGGGGAGGAAATTAAGGATAAGGAGGTGGATAATATTGAGGTTATTGAATAGGAGGCATTTATTAATAAATTATCTATGGAGGTTGTATAATTGGCTGTTAAGGTTGTTAGGCTTATTAGAAAAAGGATTATCTTAATTAAGAAATTTAATGTTTTATTTCATCTAACTATTCATATTAAGGAAGTTTTGGCAGTTTTAGGTGTATTGTTTGAACTTGACTTTTTAAATTCTCTAATTCTTACTTAAAGACTGAAGCTTTATTTATCTTTATTATCCATTTATAATCTTACTTCTCTTTATTCTTTTAATAATCGCTTGAGAGTCAAGTTTTATTAATCTATAGCTAGTTACATTTGAGCTACTTCCTCATTTATTTATTCTTCTGGCATTGTAGAAACCTTTGGAAACTAAAAGGATTTATTCAAATGGCCAGATTATCTGATTCCACTTTTTTGACTAGTCTCATGAGGTAATTAAACATCATAAGTTGGTTTCATATATTTATCCAGTAATTATAATTGATTTCTCATATCATCATATCCTACTTAAGGTTTCTGATAAGATAATGATCTCTTATCCCTTTAGTACATTTTATATTAATTATACAAACATATTATATTTTCAAAATATTATTATATATAAACTTCCATTTAACATACATAAATCAATTATTAATCATTTTCAATTTACTCACTTAAATTAACATCTTATTAATCGCTTTTTAATTTTATAATGTTTTCCATTATGCTAACTTTTTATTTCAATTCTATTCATATCTCAAAGAATTTGTTATTTCAGATATATTCATAACTTTAAATATTGAGTATTAATTATATTAATATATTATATATAATTTATACAAAATAATTTATTTAAGATGTCACAAAAAGAAAAAGGATAATTGTAATAAAATGAATAGTCAACTCAAAATTAAGATGAAATCTCACAAAATTCATATTTAAAATTTAAAGATTTTGTTCCACCATAACAAGAGAAGGCTAAAAAATGTAAAAGAAATTACAAATCAAAATTCTGGAATGAGAAAAATGTTGAATTATTATATAGACTTAATGCTGCTTTTTCAGGAGATTCTGATTTGATATTAAAATATTTTTAAAAACATGTGGACAACAAAATTACATTTAATATGATCAAATAGAAGTTCCGATATGAATAAAAAAATAACCCTGAAAAATTATTTGATAAGAGTAAAAAGCCAAAATTAAAAGAAAAGCTTTAAAAAAAATTAGAAGCAGTTGCTAAAATGCAATCTTTAAATTTAGAAGTGAAATGGAGTCAAGTTTCAGAAATTAATGATAGTCATATAGAAGGAAAAAACGAATAGGATACAGAAATCTAAAAAAACTTAATGAATGAAATAAATAGTTTATTAAAAACAAATAGAGTATAATAAGCTTAACTAAAGAATTAGTAACAATAAATATGAATTTTTATTTTTATTTTATAATTAAACACATCATATCTATAAATAAATTTTATAATAAGTAAAATCTAAAGCATTCATTAATCAATGCAAACAAAACTACGTTGATAGTTTAAATTTTAAAATTTATTTGTGATTTAATTATTAAAAGAACTAATTGATCCAACTGATGGTTTGAATTTATTAGAACTTTTGTTTGAAATTTAATCAATAAGAGTCATAGATTTTGAAGGTTGCATAGAAATAATTGTCTATTCATCCAAAGGAGCTCTGCAAAGTGGACAAATCTAATTAAATAATTTAATTACTTTTATTTTTTCAATCCAAAGTTTTAGACATTTAGTATGGTATAAATGTTTACAGTATGTGATTTTAACATTATTTAATAAATCAAATCTTTCTAAACATATTGAGCAATATTAATTATCTGTATTAATGTTAACAAGATCAGTTTCTCTAATCTCTTAAAACTTAAAAGTAGGCATATATAAATCAACATAATTAGGTACAAGTTCTGTCTATAATTATTAATTTTATAAATTTTCTTTATTTTTTAATAATTTAGAGCAACAACAAATCAAAAAAAGTAATAGTAACATTGATAAAGGAATGAATAAAATTAACATAATCTTTGACAAACCAGAATCTTCAAAATTGTTTTCTAATATTTCCACATTATTTTAATCTAAAATTGTAAACAAATAATAAGGAATTTATTAGACTTTCATTTAATCTTAGACTTAGATTGTAATAGTCTTACAATATTCTATTCTTTCATGATCTAACTATATAAGATTAGTGAAAATTTAAGTTCCATGATTAATTTAGGGTTTATCAGCATAACATTATAGTCTAAGCGGAATAGAATTTGAAAGTATCCGTAAAAAATTAGATCCATTAACTTAATTAATGTCTAAATAATATAAATAATTTGATGAAAGAGCTTACTGCTCTAATATATTTAAACCTTATAAACTACAATCATCACTAAAAGCTCCTTGCAAACATTCACAAATTCCATAAAAACAACTTCCTCCATTTCGACATTCTCTAATTCTTATAAATTTATTTACTTTGAACAAGCATATATTGATTATATTTCTGCATGGATACTATAAGATGATTAAAGTTTTGAAATTGCTCCTACAAATAAACCTACATCTTAAAATTCATAAATATTAAAATTCCTATGAAATTTTCCTAATATTTATTTTCCTTAAAGAGAAAATACTTACTTTTTATTCCTAACTTCATAAGCATTTACATCATATTAACATTATTCCCTATAAATTATATATTATTTTACTTTGAGATTGAATCATAGTCCATTGACATATTAACATTTGGTTTATTATGACACAATAAGAGAATTGGTATTTCCCCATCATTATGTTTAAGAGCTATTGAAATTTTTTATTTCTCGGATAAACCATTTATGGTTAAATTCCTTATTTAGAAAACTTGAATCCCAATTACTTTCTAATAATTTTATTCGATTTTTTGATTGACAACAAAATCAATTAAGATCAGAAACATTAAAATGATCATTTAATTTAATTTTTTATACCAAATAATTTATTTAGGTACAAATTTCAGTAATTATTCATTTAATTTACAATTCTAATTTTTATTGGATAGGCATATGCCTGATGGTTGAACCTGTATCAACAAATGTAACTAAATTTTTTTTTCTATTGCTTTATAAATTTGAAAAAGTTGATTATTGTAAGATATCTGTTTTTTAATTTTTTCTCATAGTCTCTAAATCTAAGGGAGATCTGCAACGAGGGCAGCTCTAAACATTCTAACCTATAATTTTACTTTGTTATTTGTCCACCAAATTTTAAAACAAAAATCATGGTAGAGATGATTGCAATAAGTTACTCTGACAGATTGATTTTATTAAAGTTCTTTCATACATAAAGCGCACTCCATATCTGATTATTCTAATTATTCAAGAGCTAAAGAAAATTTAATAATTGGGACTACTCTTAATGCTTTTAAATCTTTTGGATTTTTATGATGATAAAATAAATAAAGCATACTAAATAAAGTTATTATAAGTAGAGCAAAAAAAACAACAATTAAATTTTAGAAAATATAGTGCTTTTCTAAAGTTGTAATCTTTACCGAAGCCGGTGAAGTCTATTCAACAATAATATAAGAGTATAATTAAATAGGAAGTTATTCTTGTAATTCATTAGTTTTCATTAAACAGGATTATAGTAATGCTTAATTTAAAATAATTAAATTAGTTGTAATTTGCACTCCAGAAAAATAAATTTAGTATTGATGCTAACATGTATATTTTATATCAATGGAGCTTTCTAATTATCTTTCAAATTTAGAAATATTGAAAGATTTAATATGAAAAAAATATTATTATTTTGGTTCTAAAGAGATTTAATTTTCTATATCTTTAATCTATATACTACAATCGCGTCCTAAATAAGAAAATGGACATTCACAAAATCCATTTAAACATCTACCATTGTTTTAACAGATTCTAAATTTAAAATATTTTTATTACTTTGGACATGATTTTTTTTACATTTGTTTTAATTCAAGAATGAAATCGTTTTCATTACCTTATGAAATTATTCCAATATAAGGATTGTTTGACTAGAATGTATAAATGGAGAATAATTGACTGATTTCTTTGGATGTAGGATCATTATCTAATGTAATGATTTATGTTGAGTTTTGATAATATGAATTTAGATCATAAATACATTCTAATCTATCTTTTATTTCTTATAGTACGTTTTGATTGAATGAATATTAAGCTAAGTAACACTTGGTTAGGAATTACATAAAATTAATAATGAATTTGTGGTATTAGATTATGGTGATAAATAAAAGCGTAGTAGATTTTCATTATCTATTTGAGAAAGGTTTAGAGTAATATTTAAGGTAAATATACTTTCCGAAGCAGTGTATTTCCATTATTAGTAATATTACTAATCTGCAAGACAAAAAGAGAATAAGAAGATATAAAACATAAATTATATTTAATAATAATTATTTTTGACAAAAAATAATAATATAGAAACATACTAAATTTAATTATTATTTTCATTAAGAAATTTGGTTATATTGTTTCTAATTCTCTTGCAGATGTAAAGGAATCTCAATTTATTATTAAGGATGTAAATAAGATGAAATTAAATGTTCATCCCCATATAATCTTGTGTTCATCTCTGGATTAGCCATAAATTATATCATTTATGGTTACTAATTTATGGAAACTTACTCACCTTTTTATTATTTTGATATTTAATCATGATCTAATGTTAATTAATTAAAATCCAGATTTTATCTGCACATAGGACATGTCTAAATACAATTAATATATTTACTTTATGTTTATTTAACCATTATTTTATGCAATTATTATGAAAAATATGAGTACAATAAGTTATTCTGACTCGTTCTTAAGTTTTAAAAATATTTAAACAAATTTCACATTCTTAATCATTTTTTAATCCAGGAAATTTTTCCAGAATTTCAGAATATAAAAATTCTGGCATCATTTAATTTTCTTTTTCTTCTTTTAATTATTTTTCTTTTTCCATTTTTTACATTTTTTCTAGTTTTTACTTTTACATTTCATTATCTCTCCTACATCTATAAATACAATAAATAGCAATTATTAAAATAAATAGGCAAATACTTCCTACTACTATGCCAATAACAAATGGATCTATTTCGTTTTCAGAACTTTAAAGGTTTACAAATTAAGGTTATTTTAATTTAATTAATATATATGCTAATTGTTATTATTAATTTTATCCTAGTTCATTAGAATAATTTAAACAATTATTCATATCTTCAACAGTTATGTGTATCATGTGCAATCTCATCTCTGTTTTATTTTATAATAAATAAGGATTCTTCGCATAACATTCCATTATAATTGTTGATTCCAATTATAATACTGCATAGTATTAAAGGATTTTTTTATTTTTTTATTCCATCCATTGATATGTATCAAAAAAATAGAATTCCGAATTCATTAGGCTTTAAGTATCTAAAATTGAATAAGCTTTCACAGAACAATCATGAGATAAATAATCTTTAGAGCAAACACATATTCCTTGATTACATCTTCCTCCATTTTTACAATCACTTTATTTATTAATAAGTATTACTAGGGGCACTGTTAATATTCAGTCATTTAAACAATTAGATTAAAAGAGTTTTTAGAGTATATTTCTAAATGGGCATCATAACTAAATGGAATAGCATTATATTAGAACTTATAAACATTTGAAATGTTTCTATAAGATATAATTCTAACGTTTTGGATATTCAATTTAAAATCAATAGCATTGTGATCTATTACACAGCTAAAAATAAAAAAAAATTAAACTATGTCTTTGATTTTTCTGTACACAATTCCATAACAGTAGATTTATCAACATTATCAAAAGATTCTAAACTGAGTAGAATAGCTTCTTCATTTTTTAATAAAAATCCCTCCGGTATAAAATTATCAAACTTATATGAGCTTTCTTATGGAAGACTTGTCACATTAAGTAAAATCTTCTGGCAGCTCATTTTTTGCATCAATTTAATGAAGATGATTGCTAATGTTATCATTATATATAATTTATTACAATATTATTCGAAATTTTAAAGTATCAATTTATTCTCAAAAATCTAATCACCAAATTAAAGAATAATTTAATAAGCCACTTATACTAATAAAATAAGTTTATTATGCAATACCATCCAAAAATAATTATTACAAAGATCTTTAGAGAAAATTATATAAAATTTATTTTAATAAATTATTTTCATATAAATTATTAAATTAATGAGGAACATTAGAAGAACAAAACTATTCTTTTATTATTTACTTCAATTTAGAATCTAAAAGTTAATTTTATTATTAATAAAATAGGCAATAAAATTTTAATTATTAAATACTGATTAAGGAATAATTTTATTTATAAATGATTTATATACTTTGATATTATTATGTAAAATTGAATAAAGTAATTAAATTGTATTACATATCTAAAAGTTTAGCTCTAAACAAAACAAAACAAAAAACAATAATTATTCAAAATTTAATAATAATTTGAATAAATAAAATTAGAGTAAATTTATATCAAAGATTAAAATGAAACCTTAACTCAAGAAAAAACTAATTTATGAAAAAATCTTAAACAAGCAATTGTTGAAATTATAGAATAGATAATAAACCTTGTTCCAAATAATAAATTATAAAAATAATATTCTAAATTTTTTGTAAAGGAAAGAAATTATACATTATGATTTATCAAAAACCGGTGTTAACTGATTCTATATAGAAATTATCAGATAGTCTTTTGAGTTAATTTTTTTATTTGTATTGTATTTAGAGATGATTGAAAGAATATCGTTCCTTGATAGCTTTATTGTGTTTATTCAACTCTATGTGCATGTTTGGTTTTGATTTAAGGAATTCTTAAGATTTGCAAGCCCTTTAATATATTTTTTTAATACCAATTTTTTTCAAGTGTTTAAACTTGAACAGGCTTTGGTCTTCTAGATTTATATTAAGAAGGTATACTGTATATTGAATAAGATCCATCAGATTGATCTAGATAATTTTAGATAGCTTACCCAATAATTCAAGGATGCCTTTTTCTAACTCTGATTTATTTGCATTTTTCTGATAAATCTCTAAAATTTCTTGGGTTTTTTTGTCACCTTAAATTAATAAATCTGTTAAATCACCAGGAAAAAGTTACCTTTTAGATCTCCCTTTTATGATTAATTTATAACATTTCTTCGACACATTTCATATAAAGTAAACAGATATTAACTTTCCTTACTAGAAGTAAACTACATGTATTTAAAAAAAAAGTAAATTTATAAATAATTTATGAACTGTTAATATACATCATATAAAATAGTAGATGTTCAAAAATTAAATTTATAATTAAACAAGATATACTAAATAAAAAGATCAACAAGAATTTAAAATTGATTAAAAAAGCTTAATTTACTACTAATTTTCAAAATTCAATTTAAATAAAATAGTAAAAAAGCTTATTTATTTCATATCTCTTCTATTTCTTAATTTTTTTAATTATAATAAAAATTATAACTTAAAAATGATAGATAATATTTCATGTGCTATTTTAAAGTTTTTCAATTATTAATTTATAAATAGATTTATTTGTAATTTTATTTTATTACATGAATTAATGCTACTGTTTAAGCATCTACAAGTTTTGAATTCTCTATTTGAAGTTAATAAATCATATAAAGGTTTTGAATTATCCTTAAACAAAATAAAATTAAAAAGAAGATAATTAAAAAGCTATTAAATATTATTTACCTTTAAATTAGTAATAAAATATAAGTTTTAAAAATCTCAGATTAAAACGACTTCAAAAACTAATTTTTAGAGATAAATTTAAAAAATTAATTAAATTGGTTAGAACCATGAGCAAAACCTTAAAATTTAGAAATTAAAGCTCTTTATAGTTATAGATTAGAAATAACAAAATATTCTGTCTAATTCAAAGGGAAACGTGTGAATCATTTGATTCTTCTGTAAAATAAATTAGAATATTACTTAAATAAGTAAAAATAATTTAATAATAATTAATACAAAGAGAAATTACAACTAAAAATTATTTGAAGACTTTCTTTAAATTAAGTGCATGCTACAAAAATAAATTAGAATATGATATTAGAAAAGCAAACAAAGAAATTTAATAATAGTTAGAATAGGAATAAATGCATTAAAATGAAGAAGAATTAAGAAAAGGAATGTAAACAAAAATAAGGATAATTTAGAGAGAGTTTAAAAAAAGTATCCTGTCTAAATAAAACTAATCTACTTAAATAAAAATGAAAGTCTTGATAGATTATCTATTAAATGATGAGTTAAAAACTTTAAATTATTTTTTCAAAAAATACTTGGTAAAAGAAAGTGTTAAAAGTCATAGGTTTGATGAAGAAGATGTTTATGCTAAATTGATGTGATATAAATAAAATAAAATTAGGTTTTTTAAAATGTTAACTAAGAATTTTAAAAAAATCATAGGTGATGGTGAAATTAAATTTAAATGACTTAAAGTCACTATGAAAGATTTTTTTAATTAAATTTAAAGGATATAATCCATTCTTTTTAGGTTTTTATCACTTAAGATAATTTGATAGCAAATTTTACCTGAAAACTTAATCTAACCTAATTTAATAATGATGGAAAATATTAATTAGTCTACCAATAAAAAGAGAACCAAGAAATAAAAAAAAAATAAATTCTCAAGGAATTATTAAATATTCATTAACTGAAATTTATGATCTAACTCTATTAAGTTTGAATAATTATTAAGTCCTTTATAATAAAAAGAATAAAAGCGCCATGATTTACTTTAAATATTTAATTTGTTTTAAAACATAATCGAAAGTATATTATAAATTATGTAATAAAATTCTTTTTTTGATGAGAAAGATGAAATGGAGATTGAAAATTTATTAGCATCTATGAAATAATCAAAAGATTATGCTGTAAAACAGAGTATGAATTTATTTTACAAACCTTTCAAATAAAATGATTTAAAACTTGAAAATGAGATGAATGATTCCTCCTTTTCATCAAACATTAAAAAAGGATTTTAAAATTATAGCAACTTGAGTATAAAATTTATCTAAGGAAAGTATCTGAAAAAAATAACAAAAAAAAGAAAAATTAGAAATAATTTTAAATAAATAATTAAAATTTTCTCGAAGATTAAACGTAGTTCGCATCAAATAAAAGTGAATTTTTTTTTTAAGAGTTGAACAACTTATTAGTTCAAGCTAAAGAGAAAATTTATTATAATTCTTAGATATCTTCTTGTAAAAATGATTTAAGTTAATGCTATGGAACATTTAGTCAAATTAAGCAATAAATATATGAAATTGAAAAAGTTTTTAGAGGTATTTATTTTTAAATAACACAAATAAGCTAAAGATGATGAACTTTTTCAATTAAATATTGAATTGGAGAAAGAATTCAATATTTGTAGAAATCAAAACTTTATGGATTTTGTAGCAAATTCTTAGATGAATTAAACTTTAGGTATTCACAAAAAATATCAATAAATTTAAGAAATAAAAAAAAACAAGTTTAAGACTTTTAACAAAAAATATGAGGAGAATTTCAACCAAATAAGAAGGGACTTTGATGATTTAAAAAAGAGTATTTAAGAGATGTTTTCAAAAATAACATTTAATTCTTATATATAAGACATTGAGAAAAGTCATTTAATTTATTTTTAAGATGATAAATTAGAAGGAGAATTTTAACCTAAATCTCTTTAATTAAGAGAGGATTAGAATATAGAAATTTTTATTGAAGATTTGACGCAAATATTCAATATTAGTAAAGAAGATTATTAAAATATTGAGGATCTAAAATAATAAATTTTAAAATGTGTAGAATAATAAAAAAACCATTTAGAAATAATTTAGACCAATTAAAATTTAAGCATGAATTAACAAATAATTAAATTAAATATTATTAAAGATGAGTTAAAAAATGAATTAATTTAGTTAAATTAGTTTAAGGAATTATAGGAAAAAATCTTGGATTAAAATAAAATAGAAATCTAGAAACTTTAATAAAAATTAGAATAAATAGAGAAAAGGGATTACCTATATCTAAATACTAAATTATTTTAACATGTATAGATTTAAATGGAACAGTAATAAAATTTAATTTAAATATCTTTAATAATAATATAGTAATTATTTTAATCAAATTCTTTTGAATCAAGTTTAAAAATAACTTTAAGTGAAAAATATAAATATTTAAATAATTATTTTGAGGAAGCTAAGAAATTAATAAATGAAAGAAGTTGGAAGATAGAAAATAATCCTTTAAAATATTTATAACTTCATTAATAAAAGATTGAAGAAACAATAAATATTATTTATTTAGAATACTGTAAAATGATTAGTTGGATTAAATAATAAAGAGAGATTTTGATGGATTAGTTGTGATATTTTTTATTTTATATATTATTATTATATAATCTCATTATTCGGCATTAACATTCTATTGATTGTCTCCTTATCTCTACTGTCTGTTTCTATTTCCTCCTCTTTAAGTTTTCTGTTAAGGCTTTTTTTATCTAAATAAATAGAATCATAATTAACTTGCGTTCTATGGTGATATATTCTTCATCAGAACTGTTGTTTTCATTTTAATGGTCATTTTCTTATTATTATTCTACAACTTCCTTTTTTTCTTACCATTCCTCTTTTTATTATCTATCCCTATTATCTCTATTATTATGTTGTCTATTTCCTCTATAAGGTCTATTTTTATAATCTTCACCATTGTTTCTTCTATCATAATTTTTATCCTGATGATAATTCTTTTTATAGCCTTTTCTTTGATTATCATTTTAATAATGTTATCTATGTTCTCTTGTTTAGTAGGTTTTTTCTTAATTGTCTTTTGTATCTTATTTATCATTATTTTCAGGTTCTTAAGGAAGTTCTTAAGGTTAATTATTATTTGATTCTAAATCACAATTTTCTTACTATTGAGTTTCATTTGAATGTAAATGAGGTTATTAGTCTAATGTCTGATGAACTTCAGTTCTAGTTTCTTCTTAGAATGATTTTTTTGGACTAGATTTAATTAATACATATTATTCATGTTATTATGGCTATTCTTTTTATGTTTCAACAATTTCTTGTGTTTGTACTGTTTCTTATTTTACAGTTTCAATTTCTAATACTTCTTATTATTGTTATTATTGTTATTATTATTATTGTTATTATTATTGTGGTTCAGATTGCACTTCATGTTTCAACTAAATAAAAATTTTAATTATTTACATTCAAACCCTTCCATGATTGATCTTTCTTTCTTAATTATCCATTCACTTTATTTTAAAGTATTTTAGCAAGTTCATAAATTGAATTATGATCTTAAGTTAAAAGTGAAACAGTGTCTTGATTCTCAGATAAATGCTCTAAAATAAGAATGAATGCTTCTTGAGTAATAAGGGTTCCACTTTGTTCTGCTTCTTTCTTTGATTATAGCCAATTAGTTAGTTGAGCTTCTAATTCCTTTAATTTTTCATTGTTTTCTTCTTTGGTTTAAATCTTTTAAACTTATTCTGGTTTTAAATCCTTTGTCTTTGATATTTCTTCTAAATCAGCTATGTCCTTTAATTTCTTTTAGAGATTTCGTTATTTTTTTGATAGGTAGTTGAAATAGAAATCTTTCTCTTCATTTTTAACTTAGTCCCAAATTGACTATTTCTTCTATTATTTTGCTCCTTTCATAAATATGTATTTTTTAAAAATATTTAAATAAAAACCTCAATAATTTGATGTAATATGAATAAGTCTAACTTAATTATTATTAGTTTCTATTTATAAACTTACATAACTATTTTAAATTAAATGATGCTTAATTCTATTCTGTATTCGTTTTTATACTCAAATAATAATAATAACAAAAATGGAAAGTCGTGAATAAGATATCCCACCAGAAGAAACTCTAAAAGATGATGCAAAGGTAAAATTGGAAGGAAAATTAAATGAAATAGAAGAAGCAGGAGAGAAAGGAATAGAAGAAATTGAAAAATATTACAAAATAACAGGTTCACCAATAAACAATGCGATAATTGTTTAGATTATGATTTGTGCACTTGCTTCAGGATGCACAGCTCTTATAAATTCTATAGGTCCAGTTCGATGGTTGATCAGTTTAATACCAATGTTTAACCTTTTAAATTTCATAATTTACGCTATTTTTTTGGCATTTTTATAGTTTGGCAGTCCATTTTTTAAAAAAGTAAATATATTTAATAACTATAAATATAGAAACCATGGAACTTCATGTTTTTTAGTATTCACTTTATTGGAAAGTTTTCATTTATGGTATTTTATGGAGTTAATTATCCATTACATAAATTTGAAGTATTTTATTTTCTATGTGTATTTGGTTATTTATATGTATTGGCATTGGTTAGAAATAGAGATGCTGGATTGAAAGATATAGATTTTTCAATTAAAGGAAACTTTTTCTAATTAGCTGGACTTGGAATATTTTTGGGTTTCTTTTTGGTATTTATAATTATATGACAGTTAGGCAATTCTTACTTCAGCAGGATTTTGGCCTATGATTTGGTAACCAATTGTTGGAGTTCTATATTTCTTATACCTTTTGCTTGAAGTTGAGAGATTTGATGAAAGTTTAGAATATTTAAGAGAAGGAAAAAATACATTATTTTTGGGAGCAGCATAAATTGATGCAGATTTATTATGGTTCTGTCCTTTAGCTCTATTTCATATGAAATCTAAAGGTGATAATTTAGCAAGAAGAGCAGAAGAATAAGCTTAAAAATATTAAGAAGAAACAAAAAAATTGATTAATTCTGAATAGAATGCATGAATTTATTAAAAAATAAATAAACAATAAAAAAAATAATTTTATTATTAATATAATATATGATAATTTTTGAAACACAAAATTTAGATTCCGATTAACTGTGTATATATATCAATATTTATATATGATGAAGATTTAATATATAGAAAACACTATGTAAAAGAATAACAAATTAGATATGTATATTCTTATAATAACATGATATTGGAACAAATATTAATCCTTAATACTCATCTATGGATATATGAAATATGAGGATCATATGGATATAAATAAATTAGAAAGAAATTTTGATGATAAAATGCAATTGAATTTTGATAAATTATATATTTAAAGTATTTAGTTAATATTATTATGAATGCATAAATGAAAAAATTGCTGAAAACAAATAAAGATCTTGGTAATCAATATTTAGATTTTACATAATTGTTTGAAAAGAAACTCAAATAACCAACAATAAATAATGATAGCAAGAAGGAATTAATTGAATAATATAGACAACGCAATTTCAAACATGAACCCTAACCGTTCTATGAATCATCAGAAATTATAGTTTATGGATCTTTTGAAAATTCAAACATAATGGCTGTGTAATAAGAAGGTAATGAATTGAATATATTGCTAAATGGAGACACTAATACGAATGGATGTACATAATGGTTTTATTTTGGTATATTAGTAAAATAACCTTAATAATTAACATTTCGCATTCTAAATAACCGTAGAGGTAAATCTTTATTGAAAGAATACAACCATATTCGAGTATACGATAATAATAAATGGAATTGTGAAACTACTAAAGAATTGTATTATTATAGAACTAATATCAATCATCCCTTTTACCATTCTTAAGATTCTTCTATTGCAAACTTGTAGTAGAATTTTCCATTACATACTTTACAATTTAACTATAATTTTACCTAAAATAAAAACATAGTTTACTTTGCATTGACTATGCCATACACAGTTAGTAACTTATATCATTTAGTTTATCATTCAAGCCTAAAACATAAAGTATTATGTAGTACTCCTTTAGGATTACCAATATTTAAACTAAAAACTAAACATAAAAGTAAAGTATATTTTTATATTTTAATTTTTAGCATCTGAAGTAGTGATTATATTAGCACGATAACATCCAAGTGAGTCAGTTGGTTCACATATTTGTGAAGAGATAATTAAATTGTTAGATTCTGGTCATCAAGTTTAAAATAAATATAGATGTGTAGTATTTCCTATGTTAAATCCAGATGGTGTATTCCTAGGAAATTCTAGGTGTAATTTTAATGGAGTAGATTTAAATAGGTAAAACCCATAATAATCTTTATCCATAGAAAATGGGATATGCCTAATTAAACTACTGAGCCAGAAATTTATAATGTAGTCAAACATATCAAAAAGTATAAAGTAGCATTTCTTATTGATTTACATGGACATTCTAAAAAATTAAATTAATTTTTATATGGTTGTGCTACTCAAATTAAACATATTTCAGATTATATGAGAGTTAAATAATTTAGTAGATTATTACAATAAGGAAGTGATCTTTTTAGTTATAATGTAATTAATTTTAATTAAAAATTAGAATTGCTCATTTAGTATTACACCAGATAGAGTGAGTACTGCTAGAGTTGCTATGTGGAAAAAGTTTTAAATTGCAAATTCAATGACTATTGAAACCTCTTTATATGGAGGATAAAAAAAACCTTTCGAAAAAGAAGAGTTTAATCTATTAGCTCAAAATATTTTGAATGCTCTTTTTCAATACAATGAATATTAATCTGATCCTCATTTGTATGATGCTTAAGAAATTAATTAAGCTATTAAATTAATTAAAAAAGATGGAATTGATGATAAAGAGTCTGGATCTGATTCTGATGCAGAATAGGATATTATAGTAACTAGAAATCCAAGATTAAAAGTTACTTCAAGAAGAGATTCTACTCCTTTAATGGTTAAAAGTAAACCTAAATAATAATCAGAAACTCCTATTCAATAACCTACTCTTTTCTTTAAGAATGAATAAACTTATAGTTTTAAGAAAATACCTTCTTATCAAATGAAAAGAAAAGTGTAAAACTATTTTATTTAATTTTAGTTCTCGAATGAATTCATTTCAGAGTCAAATTATTGATGAACCATTAAGTGCATAGTTACCTACCATTTATAATATTCCAACAAAGTAATATAAAGGTACTCTTGATCTGATATAAGCTCTACAAGTAAAATCGCTTTCTAGATAATAGTGACAATTATTATTTAGTAATTTAATAACTTAATTTATCTAAGACATAAATCTATTTTCCAAACATATTAATACCTCACAAAATATATTTTATATTTACCCGCAATATTTATCAATTTTATTATTATGATTTTTATATTCACAATTTTTACTTAATAATCTAATGCTAAATGAATGTAGGGATTAGATAAAATATGTTAGCTTTTTGTTTTAATATTTTTTGAATCTTTAAGTTGAATTAAATCTAAAGTGATAATTCATCTGTGATTAAATCAAAAATGTCTGAGATTAATTTAGATAATTAGTATGCACTATTTTTTATTTAAAAATAGCTTATAATTTATAAATTATCATAAATCATCTAAATTAAAAGTTGGTTGAACAATATCGTCTTCCTCAAAAAACATGAGTTTGATTCTATTACTATTTTACATGTCATCCTCTAAGTTCTAATTAGTTTCTTCATATTAAATTGTAGCTGGTGTTCCTTAATTAGGAATACTAATTATTTTGCTTGATTTTCTCTAAATAAAAGGTGATTATGGATTAAATTTTTGATGATGAGATCTAATTATTATTTTTATTAAGTACCTACATTAACTTGGAGAACGAGTTCCAATTATTTCTGACATAGGTCTAAAGATTTTATTATTTTTTTTCATAGAAGTATTATCCTCCAAGAATTTAAGATATTTATCATGTTCCTCCTTTGTCCAATGTCCAATATTTTTTTTGGGTGAAAGAGAATCCATTTTTTTAATTTTTTTAGATTTTGGAGATCTTGTACTAATTAGTTCATTGTTGAAACTGTCTCTTTGGTTGTTTTCTTCTTCCATTCAAACAAACCCTTTTTAATATTTTTTTTTTTAAATTAAATATTTTCTTTTTTTTATTATATAGTTCATTTTCTTAATGAATTCTCTACTCTATTGCATGTTTAATCAATTAGATTAATGATAGTTTCTTCAGTAGCTTCTCTCTCATTTTTTTCAGCATTCAATTCACCATTTAAATAAGAATTCATTTCATCCAACATTCTAAACATCTATGCTTAAGCTACTTCTCTTTATTTCTTCTCAGTTGTTAAGATTTCCTATAATTTTAATATTGAATCTCCCAATCTTTTGATAGTTTATTAATTTTATTCTTCTCTAAATTATGTAAATTTAAATAACTATACCTCTATCTTCTTTCTTCTTCAACTTCTTCTTATAATTATAAAACTCTATCTCCAATTTCTTAAGCATTCTTTTCTTCTGTTTCTTCTCTATATTTTTTTTACCTTGCCAAATCCAATCTTAAACTATAAACTCTATCATCAGTATTTTTTATAATCTTTTATTCATAATCTTTTCTATTCAATTTCTCTACTTATAATTCTTTGTTCAAATAACCTTCCAATCCTTTCAAGTCTTTTGTTCTTAATTTCTCATCACCACTCTATTGGTTATTTATTTTAAATCTACCTCTCTAATTATTTTTTCATTTTGTGCTCCTTCTTCAACTTTTGATATTTATTCCTTCAGTAACTTGAATTTAGATTCATCACTCTATTATTGTTTAGTAACTTTATCCTCTAAAATCTTGACTTTCTACTCAAATGTTTCTTTCTTAAACTATATAAAAACTATATATATAATAATATACTGCTTAGTCTTCATTAATAGAATGCTAAAGATTAGAAAGCTTTTCTGTTAATTACGATATCTTTGCTCTGCTTGGAGAAAGTGCTCTATCTCTATCACCACCATATGAAACAGCAGATTAACTCTTAGGTCCAGGAGAAGAGTACATCAATTTAGAAGCTGACATTGTTTGATAATATATTATGATAAATTTATTTCTGTATATTTTGTAAATTAAAATTTGAGTTATCAAGAATTATCAACAACCTATTATTATATAATTACAATTAACAAGTATTTATTAACAAATACTCAAAGTAACCCTATGTATTTGTTCATACTTTTAGTATTAATTATTTTTATAAGTCCTTTTGTAGATTTAATTTTTAAGATAAAAAATCAGAATAAAATATATTTAATAAATCAAAGGTTTTCATAAATTTTGTACTTTCGACTCTTTTAAAGATCGTCAATTTTATTAAATGGATTTTCAATTTATTAAGAAGGATCTTAAAGATATTTTTGTAGAGCAATCTCAAATTATTAAGTTTCACCGTTTAACTATTATTTTATACAGTCAGGCAGACTTTCTACTTCAGATTAAAATATCTTTAGAATCTCAGTACAATCTTATATTCTATATGGATCATAATATAATATGGCTTCGTTCATTTAACTTCTTGATTTTAGTTTATATTTTTAAACTATAACTTTTTCATCTATTATACCATTCTTCTAAGGTTATGCATAAATTGGTATAGTATAAATTTTTTTTTGATTTGAATTTATATATTTATAAGATACTTCAACATCACATAATTAACCTGTTTCATTCTTTGGAATATTACCTACACATATAAGATGAGTTTTATTATATCCAATTGATACTAATTTCTTAGAGATTTATATTTCATAAGGATTAACGTAAAGGAATTAAACTCCTTCGCATTCAGATATTTTAATTGGATTATTTTTGTTTGTTTTTATTGTAATTAATAAATCTCTTATAACTGTTTATTAAAGTTTAGTCACTTCGAAACATAAATATGAAGACAAATAATCCACATTCTTTACAATTTAAATTTTCCCAAGTTTTTCGTTTCCTCTTTTTTTTATTTAACAAGACTAGAATTTATTTTACTAAAGCAAAAGATAAGCTTTCAATTTAAATTATTTTTCTTTTTGAAATAGTTATTCAAGTTCATAACAATATTTACCTAAACTTTAATCTTAACTAATAATATTAATAGAAGTAACTTCGTTTTTAAATTATCTTAATTTCAAACATTAATTAGCAACTTAAGCAGCATTCAAAATATTTGAGTTACCTTTTTTATTAATAATCTATTCTATTTTTTCAAAAATAATCTATTTATTTTTTTAATTGAGTGGAATTAAAGGAAAAAGTTTATCGACCTTGTTATTATATAGAATTATGGACAATCTATCTCGATCACTTAAACTATTGACTAAGCATTTTAAAGCCGATTTGATTTTTTCTAATGTTTCATCATTTAAAGATTAACTTATGTCAATTAAATAAATTAAGTCGACCCCAATTTAAAAATCAGATTATTTTGGAAAATTTTTCTTTATTTCGAAAAGAAGTTAATTATTATCTTAGTATCCATAGTTGATATCAATAAAATCATTAAATTTATACGTTGATCTGTATTTTTCTGGAATTTCATCATCATGAATTCTCTGTAAATTTTATTATTAAATATCATTGTTTAGGGATGTGAGCTTTAAGTAATTCTTATTTTATTAAATCATTTTAATAAATAATGAAAAAAAAAGAGAAAGAAAAAGATAAAAATGTTTGAAAAGGGAGGTTACAAAAATAATCAAATATATAAAATAATTAGTATTATATATTTTATAAATACTAATAAGATTAGTATTATATATTTTATATATAATAATAAGAAATTTTTTTCTTTTAAATTATTATTGCCTAATGAGTTTTAATAAGGATTAAGAATGCAGAATTTATAGGTTATAGATAATTTAAAAAATAAAATTACTTTAATTAAAAGAAAGCCAATCATTAGTTGGAATGTGATATTGCTATAAATTGATTAAAATTACAATTATGATTAAATCTTAAAAATTTTACTTCATTTTCAACTTTGAACTACATTTATGAATAGAAAAAAAGATTTATAAATTTATTTTTCTTCTGAAAAAAAGATTGATAAAATCTTACTAACATAATCGCCATCCAAGATTTTCATTTTATCCTTAGTAATCAACTTATTTAATTCTCTATATAATTAAATTGTTTCTTATTTGGAATTAACTTAGTATTATAATATTATTCACAATAATCTAAATAAGTCGATTTGACATTTACTTGAACGTTAAGAATTAATATTAATTTTTGAGCTAATTAATACAAAAATCTTACAATTAATTTCATAAATCTATATACTTGATCTATGTACTCAAGATTCTTTGTAAATTTAAAATTTTGTATAAATAATTTTATATAATGATTTTTTTTTTACAACAAGTTATATCTAAAACCACAAAAACATAAAACTAGAATATTTCTATAAGATAATAACAATAATCCATTAAAACATCTTATAAAACATTAGTCTTAGAGATATAATAATCTTAAATTGGTTAGGGATTAAAAAATAATAGAAATATTTTTAAAAATAAAAAAAGAATTATTTTTCCTTTAGAAATTATTCCTTTTAGTTGTGTAGGATGAAAAAATTGAATAAAATAGAGGAAATAAAAACTTTAAAAATTTAATTATTTATAAATAAAAAATCTATATAGAGTAAAATAAAAATGAAAGGATTTCGAAGAATTATTGTGGAATATAGTTGAGTGATTAGATAGTAAGAATGGTAATTATTAGAATTTGAATATAAAGAAGCAAATAATAAGGGGAATAAAATTATTTTGATAATGTGGAATTAAAAATTTTATACAAATATATTTAATTATTTATGTCGTAAGAATCATAGTCAAGTTTGCTGGGAAATTTGAGAAAAGTAATAACATTAGTGGATTAATTACGTGATATTGGATTGAATGATTATATAAAGTTGCCTAGAATAGTTGTTTTAGGTATTCAATCAGCAGGAAAGTCATCATTATTAGAACATATTGTGGGAATAGATTTTTTACCAAGAGGATCTGTAAAATGTTAATATGATTGATAGGGAGTTGTCACAAGAAGACCATTGGAATTGCGTTTATCATACTCACCGAAAAATGTATGTGAATAACCAACAGCAGAATTTGTAGAAGAAATGAAAGGAAAGAAATTTACAAATTTTGAAGAAGTAAGAAAGACGATAGAAGAATTAACAGATAAAGTATGTGGAAAAAGTAAAAATATTATTGACAAACCAATAATATTAGCAGTAACAGGGCCAAATTGTCCAGATTTAACTCTTGTTGGTAAAGATATAAGAATATATGTAATATTATAGACTTACCTGGAATAACAAGAATACCTATAATGGATTAACCAAAAGATATTGAATAAATAACAACTAATATGGCTAAGAGATATTGTGAAGATCCTTCAGCTATAATTTTATGTGTTGTTGCAGCCAATGCTGATATGACAACATCAGATGCATTATTATTGGCTAAGAAATTAGATCCTGATGGTATTAGAACTGTTGGAGTTTTAACTAAAATTGATATTATGGATTAAGGAACCAATGCTATCAAAATGCTAAAAGGAGAAGAAGTACCTCTTAAATATGGATATGTTGGAGTTAAATTGAGATCACAATAAGAAATTAAAGATAATATTCCAATTGTTTAAGCTGTCTAAAGAGAGAAGAATTTCTTTGCTAATCATCCTGTTTATTCTTCCATTCCTGGAGATATATTTGGCACTTAAGTCCTTACAGGTAAATTAACTAGAATTCTCTATCGAAGAATTAGAAGTTTCTTACCCACTTTAATGTAAGAAATCAATTAGAGAATTTCTAAAGTCTAGAATCGTCTTGATGTTCTAGGACCAGGATTACCTGTTGAAGATTCTGTAATGTTATTCTCTAACTTTATACTAGGATAAATTGCATTTCATTTGGTAACTTATACATGAATTCTCTGTTCGCTTTAGAAATTCTATATCAGGATAATATGAAAAACAAAGAGCTAATTAAAAATCATTATAAGTACCAGCTGGATCATCCATTAAATTACTTTTTAAAGATTTATATGATGATTATAGTCAATTAGATTATTGTGCTCTTAAAAAATTTAAAGATGAAGACATTCTCTAAGTCATTTAAAAATATTAAGCATAATCTATACCAGGTTTCTTACCTGTTGATGCATTTTATGCACTTTTGAATCCAGAATTAAAAAAATTATATTCACCTGCTTATGAAACTCTGGAATAAGCATTTTAAATATTAGAACAGTATGCTACCACTATTTTAGAAAGTTAATTACAATAGTATTTTTATCTTCTATATTAGATTGCCATCCGTTTAGAAAATGCTTTCTGAATAAATTATGGAAGTTATTCTTGAATGTAAAAAGAATGCACATGATTCCATTACTGATGTTCTTGATGCTGAACAAAATTACATCTTCACTAATGATTTCAATTATCTAAGTGGCAAGCCTTTTATTAGATTTGGCAAAGAATCTAAGGCAGATCAATAAAAAGGAAATCCTATGGTGTTAGAATTGAGAACTAAAATAGAACATTATTTTAAATTAGTTGTTAGAGCAACTAGAGACAATATTCCAAAACTTATTGGATACTTTTTAGTCAAAGGATGCTAAGTATTTTATTCTTTCATACTCTAGAATTAAATGTTAAGATAATTGTAATCAAACTTAATGCAAAATCAAAGCATCATCTCTGTAATAACTGAAGATTAAAATGTTGTTGACGAGAGAAAAAAACTCAATAGAGAAATTGAAACGTTCAGAAATGCTTAAAAAATCATTAAAAGAGATCCTGAGTAAATATTAATATTTATTATTAATTAGTCTTTCAGAATACATTTTATCTATTTCTGAAGAATAAGAAGATTAATAATACAACTAAAAATAAAAATAATAACCGAGTGCTGTTGTCACTTAATAAACCAAACCATAAGTATAAATTATAAAATATATTTTAGTAACAAACAATTTAATAATAACAATAATAATAATAGTAATAGTAATAGTAATAATAATAATAATAATAATAATAATAATAATAATAGTAATAATAATAATAGAAATAATAATAGTAATAACAATAATAATAATTAATTAATAACAATTAAACCAATAAAAATTAGACAAATAATCCTTAAATATCTATCTAAAGAACTGATGTAGCAAAGGATTAAGAACAACCCCCTTAAAGACCTAATGATCCTATTGTAAGTAGAACTATAAATTAATAACCAGATTCAAATAGATAACAGCCATCTCCAACAAAACCTTAGTAAAAAGTAGATTAACCTTAAAATGCTTAATAAAAACAATAAACTTAAAATAATTATCCATTAAATAATAATAAATAAACTGGAAATGCTTAACCTGTTGCTTAGTAATTAGCACCTCCTCCTGTAATTTATTAAATTTTATAATTATAGGCTTAATAATAACCATAACCCTAAACTTAACCACCAGAAAAAAAAAGTTTGTTTGGCTTTATGAAAAAATGATTTTATATTAATCATTTTAAATGATCAAAATATCCTGGACTGCGAATATATTGTTTATACTATAAATAAGTTTTTCAGATATTAAAATCTAGTCCTTAATAAGCTGACTTAACAAAAGGTCTTTATTTAGATTCTGTTTTCTGATTTATTTTCAAATTTTCTTCTTCTATTTATTGCTGATGTTACTCAGTTTTTATTCTTCGAGATTAATCATATCCTTTATCAAAGATCTATTTAAAGAAATTAAGATTTTCCTCTTACCGTTTTTACATCCCAATCATTTAATCTAATTTATTCATGAGAATATTTCTTTCCTAAATTTATCACATATATTTGATACATCAGTGTTGCAATCTGTTTCTTATTAAAATTTAGTTAGATTTTCAAAGAGAAATTTATTTTATAATTCTAACTATTCCGATTTCTTTTTTAATAATTGAACTTAAACTACTAATTAATCTATTTTGCTTTCTAGTTTTTTTTATTTTATATAAGTTAATTGATTACCCTTATTCTCATCATCAACTTATGTTTGATAATAATTAAGTTTTTAAGTCTTATCACATTCATGTTGATATTTTAAATTATCAAATAACGACTTTGAAGATTAAGAATCAACAGATTTACTCCTTTAAGATAAATTGTCTCTTTATTAATTTTTTCTTTCCCTATTATCGTTATTTGCTACATACATATAATTTTATTTCTTTTACGTCGTTTGTAATTCATCATCAATTTCAATTTTATTTTACCTTAAGTCTCTGCTTAGATTACTTAATTTTTCTTTGAATTCTTTTGTAGTTATTTATGATTATTGTTATAATTTTATAATGGGAGGGGTAGGAAATTGTTTCATTGATGAAGATCCTTTTAAACCCATTAATTTTTAATCAATTGTATTTTGAATAAGTTGCAAAGCAGATGGACCTTCAGATAAACCACTTCTCTATGAAAAATAAACTTGTTCATTTAAATTTCCATAAGAATTAAATTTCTTCTTGGTGCTATTCTTTAAATTACCATTTTCATTTCTTTACTGTTATTGTGATAATAGTGCTTAAAAATCAACACTTTAATTTCTCTATTCCCTGGTTAATCTTTTATATTCAGTATGGTTCAAATTTTAATTTATTAGATTTGATATAACACTAATTTAAGGGTGAGAATTTCTTTGAGGAGGCGAAGCAGATTTTTCTTTATCTTTTTTAGGTGATTTCGACATTTAAACCTTAAATTACTTTTCATTTCCCTCTGTACGTATTCGAGTCTTAGAATTATTATGATTTAAGGATTTAGATGGTCCTGTAACTAATTTCTTGAGTACTTAGAGACCTGCAAATTTTTCCATTAATTGAGTGTTTGAATATTTATGATTTTATTTAGGATAGTTGTATTTTTATACTTCATAGTTCTTAATATTAGATGATGTTTTTCTATGCAAATGGTTATTGATAGTATACATAATATAATTTATAACAGCTTAAAATAATATAAATTAGAGAAATATGATGGGATTATTTGAATTAACAAAATACATTTTAAGATATTTGATGAGTTTATATATTTAATATGAAGTGAATATGTGATCATTAATTATTTAAATAATGAATAATATCTAAGGATATTCACTTTCAAAGCCATCAACTAAAACCACATAAGCACCAGGTGGTAATTCATCCATCACATTTGTATTTTTGAATTCATATTCAGGGCTCTGATGAGCCTGCTCCTCAATAAAAACGAGTTGTAAGAGATCCTAATGCTAGTCAATTCACTCTTGGAGGAGATCCTGTTCCTTAAAAAGGATAGCAATAATAGCAAAAATAATAATAGGATTAAGGTTTTTTTATTTTTTGAATATTTTTTTAGGGACTCACACTTCAGTCAAAGTTAAGAATCCACCAGGAGGTTAGTCATCAATATAATTCGGATGAAATATTAGTTAAATCAATTATTCATTTACAATTAACTCATCTTTCGTATTTCTAAAAATATACTCAAATCACAATTACAGAAAAAGATGAGTGATTAACTGAGTATAATAATTATTTTTCTGTGATTCAATTGATATTTAAAATGGATGGATAATCACTATTCATCCACTTTACAAGCATTAGATTTATAAAAATATAATATTTAATTCAAACCTTAAAAAATTATAAAAGAAAATTCATAAGTTGTGTATTATATTATTTTGAAGAATCATAATATTTGCATAGGCCTTAGTTTTTTAAATTTATTTAACTTTACATTACCATTCTCAAATTCTTTTTTATTTAGTATTTTTAAACTTTCTAATGGTATTTCTCCAATTTTATTCATATTTTTAATAATTCTTTATTAAATTTATAAGAGCTCTTTATTATTTTAGTATGATTTATCAAAAGATGCTTTAGCTCTATCAATTTTTTAAATAAATTGTTTAAATTAATTCTTTATTTTATCCTAAGGTTCTTCTCTCTCAATAATTTGACTTATCTTTCTTGAATCAGGTATTACAGCTTAACTTAAAAATGTTCTATGAGAATAGATTCTTGAAGTGTTAGGAGATAGTTATGGAAGTTTATTAGAACTTCGAGAAGTTTCAGGATAAAATTAATGAAATGTTGTTCTTTATTCACTAATTTCTGACAGTTGTTAAATAGGTTCTGTTAATTTTTTTTTTTTTTTTATCTATCTTGATGGTCCTTTTTTTTATTTATTATTATATAATTGCTTAGTCGTTTTTTCAAGTAGTGTAAGCACCTTTTCGGTTTATTCTTTAAATTATTTTGCTTATCTAGCAATCAATTCATCCATTTTTTCTTTTTCTTAAAGATTTTCTTCTATTTATTTTTAAGGTAATTTAATCATTTATATAGATTATTTGCAATTTTTTCTTTCTTATTCATATTTTCTTTATAATGCTAACTACTCTGATTTAGTCTTAATATCAATAAACAGTTAGTCTATACCATTATAAAATTTATCATCTTCTGTTTTAAGCTCTTCAATATCATTTTTAGGAGAATTGGGTTAGTCTTCTGATATCAAATAACCTTTAATATCAGGAGAGTGCCTTATAATTGTACTTTTTTCAACAATTTACTTGCTCCTTTATATGATATCTGCATAATCAAATAAATCATCATTATCACTATCTGAATCAATTTTTTTAAGAGTTTTTAACTTCTTTTTTTTTTCTGATTTAGCAATTTTCTGATTGCTTAAATGTTTAAGAAACAATTTGATATCAACAAAGGTATCCATATTAGCAAAATCTTTAAATCTCCTTTCAAACAATTATTCTCTTGAAACTTTACTGATTCTCATTTTCTTTCTTTCTTATTACAACACTTTACTGACATTTTAATTGAACAATCTATTTTCTTAATAAAATCAGTATGACTTACTTTCCATTTCATCAGTTTCATCTTGTGGAGTATTAGGGGAAGAGTCCTTTAACTTTCTTTTTTTGGCTAATTATTCTTTAACAAATTAATAGAAGTCTTATTCGAAATTGTTCATTATAATTAATTAAAATGACAGATATATAGTCATTAAAAGTAGCTTTTATTGAATTCATTGAAAAATTACTTCCATCAATATCAGATCCAATGTCAATCACATAATAAAAGTGTTAATTACTTATAAAATTGCTCAAAGATGAAGGTAAAACAATAAAGGATGTTTGTTTATATATTTAAAACTTTAAAATAGGACATATGAAATCTACTACTAATTAGAAAATTGAAGAAGATGATAAATTAAAATCCCCATTAAAATCAAAATAACCAGATCTAGAGCTTTTTTAGCCAGAATCATATTTTAGATTAAGTAAGAAATGCCTCCATAATAACTAGATCTTCCGAACAAAGATTTAATAATAAAGAAATCTAGCCTAAAGAATGGTGATTTAAGAGAGAAAATACTTAATGCATAATAAAGCGAAGGGTAAGCAGAAGACACTTCAACTCCTCTTAAATTGGGGATAGAAAAATTGAAAAGTATACATTATATTCTTATGAAAAGAGACACCAAAAACAACTTCCACTTTTAATCTATTTTTTCAACAAGTAAAAGGGTTTTCAATAGTATCAAGAGAATATATAATTGATGATATATAACAATGCATGAAAGAATTTCAAAGGCATACTAAAATTATGGGATGCATAGAACAAAGATCCTTTGAAGTCAATAGTGGAGAAATCACTGATGTTGATAAAAAAATGCATCATTAAAACTATAATTTTACTTCTTACTCTAAACAAGTTGAAAGATAAAAATCTTTTAAGAAAATGAGTATATTTGAACAAAAGAAGACTAGTGAATTAAACAATAAAGTATAAAACAATGAAAAATTAATACTACAATAGAATAAATTACCAATATCAGAAACAGCCTCTACTTAAAAAGAATAGGAATCTAATAATTATGAATCTCAATAAGCATTAACTAGCCGTACATATTAAACTTCTAAGCCTTCCTTATATTCTTACAGAGTATAATAGAGGAGAAATGATTAATAAGGTTAATTAACTTCACGAAATATTTCATCATAAGATTAAAATAACGAATAAATTAATAACAAAAATATATAAAATAATGAATCTGAAATCTAATAGTAAGATCCTAAATTCAAAGTTACCCCACTCTCGTTAGAATCAACAAGTAACCAAATTTCTGAAATCATTAAATTAGGAACTAATCCCTCACCAAAATAAACATCCAAAAGATCTATAAATGAAACAAGTTCTTTAAATACTTAAATTAATTCTCTTCCAGTTTCACCTGTTTTAAATAATAATAAATTTACTATCGAATCGAATTAATCTTAAAATAATTTTCAAGAATAATCAAACAATGAAGAAATTAAAGTAGATTCAAAATAAGAAGTTCCATAGAAAAATACTTATACACGATTTAATTACACTCAATAAAGGCTATAATAGATTAGAGGAAACTTAATCTAAAATAATTATAGAGGGTCATTAAATAATTATGGAGATGATAAACCTATGGAACTTCGATTAGATATCAAACAATTGGATTAAAATTTTTGATTATAAATATTTGATTTTATATCATTAGTAAGTTAGGCTTTTTAAAAATTATAATTTCTGTTTTCCCTCTTCAACGTTGACCTATTTACTAATATGTTAAACATTAAAAAGCTTAATTCATAATCATTTTGAATATTTAAGCTCAAATTAACAGGCAATGAATTTGTTTCTTTATTTTCATTAAATTAAACTCTGATTGTGATAAATTTCCAAATTCTTACTCTTCTTTATAGCAGAATCATTTTAGGATCATAAAAACTATAATTTGGTAATTCAGACTTCTCTGCTTGTTTATGTGGATTACTTCATTAAATTCTTTAAGATTTGTAATTGAAGATGATTCAGCTTATTAATAAAAGTTCAGTTTGGGAATAAGAGAAAATTATTAAATTATCGGCTAGGTTCTAACTAAATTTGAAACATTTAAAGTTTTAAGTATAACATCAGAATTTGAATCTAAAGACTCTGCTTTATCTTATTTAACACCTATAAATAAATTTGTCTCTGAAAATTATTAGATGAAAGGAATTAAATTATAATCTACAATATTTTTTTATTANTAGTGAATTAAACAATAAAGTATAAAACAATGAAAAATTAATACTACAATAGAATAAATTACCAATATCAGAAACAGCCTCTACTTAAAAAGAATAGGAATCTAATAATTATGAATCTCAATAAGCATTAACTAGCCGTACATATTAAACTTCTAAGCCTTCCTTATATTCTTACAGAGTATAATAGAGGAGAAATGATTAATAAGGTTAATTAACTTCACGAAATATTTCATCATAAGATTAAAATAACGAATAAATTAATAACAAAAATATATAAAATAATGAATCTGAAATCTAATAGTAAGATCCTAAATTCAAAGTTACCCCACTCTCGTTAGAATCAACAAGTAACCAAATTTCTGAAATCATTAAATTAGGAACTAATCCCTCACCAAAATAAACATCCAAAAGATCTATAAATGAAACAAGTTCTTTAAATACTTAAATTAATTCTCTTCCAGTTTCACCTGTTTTAAATAATAATAAATTTACTATCGAATCGAATTAATCTTAAAATAATTTTCAAGAATAATCAAACAATGAAGAAATTAAAGTAGATTCAAAATAAGAAGTTCCATAGAAAAATACTTATACACGATTTAATTACACTCAATAAAGGCTATAATAGATTAGAGGAAACTTAATCTAAAATAATTATAGAGGGTCATTAAATAATTATGGAGATGATAAACCTATGGAACTTCGATTAGATATCAAACAATTGGATTAAAATTTTTGATTATAAATATTTGATTTTATATCATTAGTAAGTTAGGCTTTTTAAAAATTATAATTTCTGTTTTCCCTCTTCAACGTTGACCTATTTACTAATATGTTAAACATTAAAAAGCTTAATTCATAATCATTTTGAATATTTAAGCTCAAATTAACAGGCAATGAATTTGTTTCTTTATTTTCATTAAATTAAACTCTGATTGTGATAAATTTCCAAATTCTTACTCTTCTTTATAGCAGAATCATTTTAGGATCATAAAAACTATAATTTGGTAATTCAGACTTCTCTGCTTGTTTATGTGGATTACTTCATTAAATTCTTTAAGATTTGTAATTGAAGATGATTCAGCTTATTAATAAAAGTTCAGTTTGGGAATAAGAGAAAATTATTAAATTATCGGCTAGGTTCTAACTAAATTTGAAACATTTAAAGTTTTAAGTATAACATCAGAATTTGAATCTAAAGACTCTGCTTTATCTTATTTAACACCTATAAATAAATTTGTCTCTGAAAATTATTAGATGAAAGGAATTAAATTATAATCTACAATATTTTTTTATTATAGCTCTAAGTAAAAAAAAATAATTTATTTGCTCAGATTTTTTTTTTTTAAATATAAGGATGAAATAAAAGAAACCGATTAATTCATCACAAGATAGAAATTAAACAAATAATTGAGGTATTGGTTAATGATAATTCTTTTTTATGTCAATTCTTAATGAATTTCGTTCTATTAATTCTTCTGAGGATAAAATTCTTATTCTCTGAGTCTTAATTCAGCTTTTCTAAAGGTTGATATATTTAATGGTGGACAAATCAATTCTAATATTTTATTTATCCATCATTTTATCTCTGAATGTATTATTAATGGAAATCAACATAATCCTATTAATTATTATTGCATAATTCAATAAACTTTTAACAAAAATTAAAAAAATTTTAAAGATACGGTATTCACTTTTAAAATATATAATTTTATTTTTTATTTTTTTATAATAATTTATACTTAATTTTCTTCAAATTTCCAACTATTTTTTATTGATTTTTTGTAAGTAATGAATCTTCAAAATTAAGTACGCAATAATTAAATATAATTTCTTAGAATTTTAATCTTTGGAACAAATTGATTGTTATCTTTTGTGTTGAACAGATGTAGGGTTTAAACATATTTAGTTCTAAGTTTGGAGCTATGTTAGTAACAAGTTGATTAAATATTGACATTTTGGAACAATTTCAAGTAGGCGTATCTCGTTTTAGTTGCAATAATTAATTATACTTTTACATTGCTGCAACTAGTTTCAGATTTGACATCTTTTTCTTCTTTTACTTATTCTCCTTACAAAATTATTGCTTTAAGAATTCTTTCCCAAATCTATGACCATTTGAATTTTATTTACTTGACATATTTCTAACAGAAATAATGAAATCCAATTTTAGTGTCATCAGATTTTAGCTTGCTTTTTACAATATATCAAATACATTATTATAAGTATCAATTTATGGTTTTCCCTTCATTAATTTTATTTTATAATTATTTCTCTAAATTTATATCCATCTTATACATAGACAATAGTCATGGGGTAAAAGATATCTTTTTACATGTTCTAGCATTGATAAAATTCGCTTAGGTTTTCCAGGTAACAATTGATTAATTGGCTAACTCAATTGAAAATATTAGCCCAAAAGTTGAAAAGATAACTAAATAGTAAACTTTCTCAGCAATAGAATCAAATTTCACAAATTCATTTAACTTTTTTTGAAATATATTTTTCAATATATTTGAGTACATATCCTCTAGTATAATTAATTTTAGATCTGCAAATTTAAGTTAGCTCATTTTAAAAATCCTTGAATTACAATTTAATTTGAATTATATCCAAAGGACAAACTAATAGGTTGATCTCTNTTTTTTTTTTTTAAATATAAGGATGAAATAAAAGAAACCGATTAATTCATCACAAGATAGAAATTAAACAAATAATTGAGGTATTGGTTAATGATAATTCTTTTTTATGTCAATTCTTAATGAATTTCGTTCTATTAATTCTTCTGAGGATAAAATTCTTATTCTCTGAGTCTTAATTCAGCTTTTCTAAAGGTTGATATATTTAATGGTGGACAAATCAATTCTAATATTTTATTTATCCATCATTTTATCTCTGAATGTATTATTAATGGAAATCAACATAATCCTATTAATTATTATTGCATAATTCAATAAACTTTTAACAAAAATTAAAAAAATTTTAAAGATACGGTATTCACTTTTAAAATATATAATTTTATTTTTTATTTTTTTATAATAATTTATACTTAATTTTCTTCAAATTTCCAACTATTTTTTATTGATTTTTTGTAAGTAATGAATCTTCAAAATTAAGTACGCAATAATTAAATATAATTTCTTAGAATTTTAATCTTTGGAACAAATTGATTGTTATCTTTTGTGTTGAACAGATGTAGGGTTTAAACATATTTAGTTCTAAGTTTGGAGCTATGTTAGTAACAAGTTGATTAAATATTGACATTTTGGAACAATTTCAAGTAGGCGTATCTCGTTTTAGTTGCAATAATTAATTATACTTTTACATTGCTGCAACTAGTTTCAGATTTGACATCTTTTTCTTCTTTTACTTATTCTCCTTACAAAATTATTGCTTTAAGAATTCTTTCCCAAATCTATGACCATTTGAATTTTATTTACTTGACATATTTCTAACAGAAATAATGAAATCCAATTTTAGTGTCATCAGATTTTAGCTTGCTTTTTACAATATATCAAATACATTATTATAAGTATCAATTTATGGTTTTCCCTTCATTAATTTTATTTTATAATTATTTCTCTAAATTTATATCCATCTTATACATAGACAATAGTCATGGGGTAAAAGATATCTTTTTACATGTTCTAGCATTGATAAAATTCGCTTAGGTTTTCCAGGTAACAATTGATTAATTGGCTAACTCAATTGAAAATATTAGCCCAAAAGTTGAAAAGATAACTAAATAGTAAACTTTCTCAGCAATAGAATCAAATTTCACAAATTCATTTAACTTTTTTTGAAATATATTTTTCAATATATTTGAGTACATATCCTCTAGTATAATTAATTTTAGATCTGCAAATTTAAGTTAGCTCATTTTAAAAATCCTTGAATTACAATTTAATTTGAATTATATCCAAAGGACAAACTAATAGGTTGATCTCTTTTTATTTATTAAATTATCCATTCAAATATCTTAGTTAATGCAGAAAAATTTTGAATTTTCCAGATAATATAAATGAAACCTATAATTAAAATTTATAAATTACCTCATCTAAATATTTTTAATCATTAGTGATAGAACAGACCTATAAAATCCTTAATTACTATTACATTAAAATTCCCATTAAATTTTTTGTTTAATTAATCGTAATATTTTTATTGAAGAACTGAGTTACAGTTTCAAATTTCGGGAATACTTCTTTAAGCTCTGATCTTATTTTAAACTCTTGGTTGTTTTGCAAATAATCCGTTTTTGCTCATATTTCAAGCTTAATCTTATCATCATTAAAATGAACTATGATGATGAATATAAAGCCTTGCCTCACTTGTATGTGTAAAAATCAAAATTTAAAGGATTTGTAAAATTTAACTCGATAATTTGTTTGAGAATTATTTTATTTTCTTTAAGAATACTTTGAAAAATGTCTTAAAAAACTTTAGAAAATTTCTAAGAAATTATTTGGCCAAAATCCCTAAATGAATGCATTACTCTTGGTATTAGAAATGATATGAAATTTATTTATGATAAAGACAAATTCCATAATTATCATAATGTTAGGCATTATTAACTTAATTTTTAAGTTATTAAAATTCTTTTTCAACAAAATGATCAGGCTTATATTCTTTCTATATTATTTAATCTAATCAATTATATTTTTTTGGAAATCTTACCCTATGTCTCATAAATGTTATTTCTTTAAATTTACTTAAAAGATGAAAAGTAGAGGATGTTAATTATAAAAGCTAAAATATGGCCCAAATTGATTAAGATGTGAAAATGTTATTATTTATAATTATTTAATATAATTATTTCTCATGGATATAGCCTAGCAGGTGTTCCCTCTTTAATAACCTCCTAACTTTCAATTATTCTTGATCCTCTTGTTCTTGATTAACTTGATTAAACTGTTGTTATTGTTGGTCCAACAACTTTCTTTTCAACTTTTACTTCTTTAACCTCTTTTACTCCTCCATTCTTAATTGAATCGATTTCAGCTTAGACCATTATTAATTATTCTTAACAAGTAAAAAATTCTGTATTTAATTTTTTAAATCTGCCTTTCCAAACTTCTACTTCCTGAATAAATAATATTCTAAATATACTGATCTTAATTTGGTTGTTTTTTCTTCTATCTCATAAGTTACAGAGCTTTCAACTTCATGACATCTTCTTTCCCATTCTTAAATTTCTTATTCTTTTTAATTCAATAATCCTGTGACTCTTTCAATTTCGCTTCTGACATTATATAATTGTTCCTAAATCTATTAGTTTTTCTTACTTCAATAATTTTAATCCTAGATTGTAATCCTTATTATGATTAATCATTTCCGCTTCTTAATTCAATAAATTCCTGCTCTTTCTATCTTAATTAATTTTAAGCTTATTGTAATTATAATCTAAATCTCTGTGCTTCAAGTTCAAGTTCTTCAACCTTTATTATATATTAAATTGTTTTTACCCTAGTATTGTCTAATACCTCAACTCTTTCTTTAACTGTCTTAACTTCAGGCTCTCTTGCTAATAATTCTGCTACTCTCTGTCTTAAAAATAATAATTCTTCCTTGTATGATTCACCATCTTCACATTCACATTCCTTCTCTTGTTATTAAGGATAAGGAACAGGAACATACATAGGCATCATATAAGGTTATTAAGGCGGAGGTTGACATTTAGGTCGACATTCATTATTATCAATCATAATTTAATAACATCCATATTAATTATTAGAAAATTATGCTGACACAAATGAAGTTGACATGTAATTTCTTTTTCTATTATATCTCAAAGGAACTTAATCAACTTCCACATTGGTCTTAATCACTTATGATTCTACTACTGTTGTGGTTTTCATATTATATTTTAAATAAATTATATTTTATATTTTAGTGTTGATAATTTTATTTATCATCCATACATGTCCAATAAATTTAAATAATCATAAGTTAATATTGATTTCTTAATTTCATAATTAACCAAATACATCTATTATCCTTCTAAACCCATATCAGTATCATCTAGATCGCCTTATAATTTAAAATGATAAATTTACCTTTTATTGTATTAATAGCTGGATCTGTAAAATAATTACCAACTCCTTAAACATCACTTACCATATAATTAAAATGACTTATAAAATAAGTATAAAAGGTAAATGATTATGCAAACTTATTTAGTTCTGTAGTATCTTCATTAATAAAACCATAATTATTATTATATTTAACAAATTCTCCCTTAAAAAATCTTTCAGCAATCCAAAAAGAATCTGAAAATAATAAAATTAAAAATACTTTAAGATTCTTAAAGAATTAAGAAATCACTGTAAATTACAGTGATTTCTTAATATTTTTTTGTTTTTGAACTGATTCTTCTTCTAATTCATTAACAAACTATTTCATGAGTTTTTGACAAATCAAATGGGATTTACATTCCTTTAAAGCATCATTCAAAGTTTAATATGGTTTACTACCGATTGGTGTTTTGATGACATACAATTCATCAGAACTACTATTTTATTTCTTCATTAAAAATACATCTTTCATCATACCAAAAGCAAATGGTTTTTCAGTTCTTATACAATTCCATTATCCTTCTGGACAACAATTAAAATCTTATGGACATTAAATATTTCTTATATTTCCAATATTATTATCAAATGCTTCTTATTTAATTTCTACTCTTAGAACTTAAAATTTTGTCTGAACAGTTTTAACATTTGGTTATTATTCAAAATTATAAAAATTCCCTTATTTACAAAGTGCTTCCATAGCACCTTCTTTTTCTCTTTATATTTCTATTTAATTAGGTCCTTATTTAGATTTAGTTTAATTTTTATTTGTTTAAGTTGCATTTTGTGATGCTTGGCCTATGTATTTGGTCATCAAAATAGCCATTTATGCTTAATCCATTTTTTATAAATCTTAATAAAGAAATAGATCTTATTTTTTTTTAGATTCATAAATTTTTTTTATTTCTTCGTACATTTTAGTAGTATATGCTTTGAAATTGAGTGCAATTAGAATGATATTATTTTGAATCAATTCTTCAATAGCATCTTAAATATCATCATCTGGATAATCATCACCACCATCATTATATCTTTTACCATGACAAGGAGCATCAGTAATTAAAATAGCAATTTTAAATTTGCTAGGCCAATTTAATTAACAAACTTATTTAATTGCTCCTCTTATATCTTCTGGTCCATCTCCTCCTCCATCACATTCTATTGTATCAAACCATTTTTTTAAAGCTTCTGAATCTTTAGAAAAAGGAAATTCGTAATATTTTCCTAATGATTTTAATTCAGCCTTATCTTAATAACAAACAGAAGCCCAATTTGTGTCTCTATTTGTGGCTTATTTAATTATTGATAAAGAACCTTACACTGAATTTTTGGTTTATGCTTTATATGAGTCCATAGATCTAAAATTATATAATTTAATACCCAGTAACATCGACAATAAAACAAACATCCAACTATCCTTACTATTTTTTAGCTTCTTAGAATACTTAACCAGCTTATTCAAGTGTTTTTTATTTTTTTTGTAAATAATTAATTCTAGCTTCTTCTTGCTTTTTTTTTAAAATCTGCAACTGCTTCATTCTATTTGATTCATTTTATTAAAATTCTCGTTACATTTATTCGTTTCCTTCTTTTTTTTTTTAATTTAGTTCCTTTGTTAAATTGTCCAATTATTTGAATTTTTCATCTAAATTAAAATTTAATGTAGAAACAGAAGTATTAATTGGTAAGCCTTTTAATTATTCTATTAAGTTTGTTAGAATTTAAATTTCATCTCTTAAACACATTATTTCAAATTCTTGTTATTTCATTTAATCTTGGTATCTTTATTTTTCTATATTAGAGGATTTGAGAGCATCCAATTAAATCATTTATTATTGTTCTAATTATCTAATTTTTTCATCTTTTTAGGTGATAGTTTTTTATAATTTTGTGATTTCATCTCTTCCTTCCATAAAATATTAATGTTCTTTTTCAATTTACTTATTTATTTTTTTAAGTTCTGATTCAGTCTCATTTTCTAAATCTACATATTATTTAATTTTGTAATTTAATTCCTCTTTCGTTTTTTTTAATTCATCTTTCAATTTTTATATTTATTCTTCAAAATGATTTGTTATTAAATCAAATTAATTAGGGCTACTTTAACTTTTTATTCGAATTTAATATTTAAATTTTAGATCTTCTGTTTCTTTATATAAATTTTCATTTTCCTCCTTTATAATATCATTTTCTTTTTATAACTTGTCAATTTTTGATTTTTATGAAAAAATTTCTTATTTCTTGTAATATATATTTTGATTTTTCTCTTATAT